CATGGCCCGCCACCGCCGCCACCACCACCACCGCTGGACACCTCTCTGCTCTGGAGCACCGCAGCCCGCCACCTGCCAGACCCACCTCTCCCAGTCTCAACTCACAGAGGGCAGGGAGGGGTTGGAAGTCTTGAAGGATTCAGATGCAAGTTGGAATGGGTGTGGAGAGGCACTCTGGGGCCCAGCTAAGATCTGTGTCCACCTCTCCTATCCAGAGTGGAGTCCCTGAACACCAACTCTAGTCTGCATGTTAACCAAGCAGCGATAGCAACAATAAGAAGGTCCAACTTGAGAATCACAGTCGTATTTTGAAAGGGATTCAGTGTACACTGGGCATGTGGCCCATGGTTTCCTGGTAGGGTCCCTGGCCAAGGACATTCTCCTAAGTGGTAGCTGGCCCAAAGGGGAACTCCTAGTGCTTATGACCACCCCCCCCACCCACTATCGCATTTACTGGGATTCACATCACTTAAAATGAGTGTGAGCATGAGAGTGAGTGGAATTGATATGAGTCTGAGACTGTGAGTTTAAGCTAACGGTCCTTCTGAACCTGACCCTGATCCTCGTGAGACCAGTCTGTTTCCTTGACCTTCAATCACAGTTCACATTGATCTCATCACCTTCCAGCTTCCTTGTTTCTTAATCACTCCCATCCCCAGTGTAACCAGAAAATGTGTGTGTATCCACCAGGGCCTTATGTTCTAGTGTATGAGAGCGAGCCAAGATAGGAAACAGGTCCTGGCCTAGAACTGATGCTGTGTCACTCCTCTGTCTCAGGTTAGCCAGGGGCCCAACCAAGGCTCAGTAACAGGGAATGCTGTCTACCTCTCTGAATGTTTTTTTTTTTTTTTTAAGTACTCTGAGTGCATCTTCCAGGGCAGGCACCTACCTGTTTTATACCCTTATTGTATTTAACTGTCGCAGTGCTCGGGCATTCCAGTTCACAGGTGAGGATGCTGAGGCAATAGAGAGGTTCACTCATGTACCCAGGGCACCTGACTACAGAAGAAACACATTTCTGTGGCTGTACTTCCTCACTGTGGACAATGTCACTGAATGGAACTAGAACAATTTTAAAACTTTGATAAATCAGGAGCAAAACGTGAACATTTGCTTTAGATCTTGTATCTGTTCAGACAAATAACTTGAGTGAGAAAAACAGTCATCGTTGTTCAGATGGCTTTTCCTCTCCAGGAGGAATATGCCAAGGTCTCACTTGATACAAGGTAAACCCTCAAAGCTGCAATCTTGGCTTTCCCTCCCTCAAGCATTTGGACTTCCTCGGCATTGCCTCTGCCGGGCCACGGACATGCCTTCGGGAGTGGCTGCACAGTAGTGACTTTGATTAGGGCCTCCCCAGCCATTCTGCAGAGGGTTGGAGAGCGGGCAGCACAAAGCCACAGGCTGCAGCGTTGCCTTCTGCTCTCAGCCACGTGATCACACTCATGCTACACCTCAAAGTGAGGACCTGTCACAGCTGGCTGCTCCGCTGGGCACCACATTCCTGCTCTACTGTGAGCGTCCCCGTCCCCTGGAGCTCATCCCCCAGCCTTGCCCCTGAGTGGATGTCTGTGTGCTTGGCAATATTCTCTTGATCCCTTCCCTCACTTTGCACCCTTTTGCTTGTTCCTGCTACTTTGTTTTCAAGCTGATGAGACCCGCTGGCTTCAGTTCCTCACCCTGCTCCTTTCCTTCCTTCCTCCATTTCATCCATCTTAGGGATCCTGTGGGAGTTTGGTGGAGAGTAGGAAGGTTTCTGGATGCATAAGTTTTTGGGTCCTTAATGATCAGATAATAATGTATGTGTGACTTCTAATCAACACACTGGTTGTCCTCAGGGATGGCCCCTGATGCGGGCTACCAATAGCTGCCCCATCCCAGCCAAGTTCAACCCCAAAATGGCTGTTTCAGCTCCCTGTCTGCTCAACTCCCAGACCGTTCACACCTCAATCCCTTTTAGAGGGTAGGGATTGATCAACAAACCACATTGTTGTGTCTTTCCTCCTGTCGATTAAAGCTTGTCTGTGGTCTTGTGCTTTGTGTCATTGTTCTGAACTGTCCACAGAGGGGAAGAGGGCCACAGGAGCGGGGACAGGCAGAGTGCCAGGTCCCATCAACTCTCTCCAGTTTCGTTTGGGCCAGGGTTGAGTTTTACAGCCTTTCTTCAGATCCTCCGAGATCTCTCCTGTCTGAACTCACTGCAAGAAGAAGCAGCGGCAGCCTATTTCGGTTGATCCTCTCCTGCTAAATATTTCTGGCAGTGACAAATATGCTTTGAGATTGGAATTGACTTTTAAAGCTCTGGAAAAGTTAAAAATACTTTTGGGTAGTTATGAGCATTAGGCATAACAAGAAGCCCTGGGTAGTTTCAGTAATGAAATATGTAGTGACAGGGGTGGCGTTTCGGGCTCGCTCCAACTGGGGAACAAACTTTTTCAGTTATGTGCATACACCGTTATTAACATTCTGGCTCCCACTCATATAAAATATCACTCTTGACCTCCTCGTTACTGCCAACCAGGGCAATAACAAAAACAGCAGGGGTGGGGGAATGCTGGAAAGAACACATCGGTCCATCGAATCTAATTGCAAAATCATTTCATTAAAATGGGTCAGCAGCTCCAGTGCAGAGGTCTGCCAGTTATAATCTAACTATACTACTGAGAGCGATTCCTGCTAACTATAGACTGCTCTCACCTTGATTAAAACGAAAGTGCATTTAATAGGCAGCCGTCCCCAGCCTCAACACACCAGAGCACATCTTTGGGCTCATGAAATCCAAGAGAAAAACCACACATTCCCTCTTGTCTTTCTGCCTCTGAGCTCTAGACCAGGCCAGTCCACTTTACAAGGATGCCAGGATAGATGCATCTGGAAGGAAATGTCACCTGTCCCTGTGCAAAGTGCCCCCCCCCAACCATCACCATGCTGAGCCATCTGGGTAGTCAGCTAGCAGGGTGCTCAGGATGAAATCCACCCACTACTGGGTACACTTCCCTGCTGTGTCTCTGGGACAGTGGTCCAGGGCAGAGCATTCAGCAGGCACACCAAGGGCAAGTGATCTGCATAATTCCTGCACCCAGGGAAGCTACCCAGACAACTATGGAAATCAGTGGGCAAATTTAGTTCATACCAGCCCAGAGGTAGAAGAGATGGGGGATGACAGCAGAGAGCAGAGGGAGGGCAGACTTCTAAGCTTTAGTTTTAGGTGGAATCTTGACATGTCAAGTTCATTCCTAATCAGGTGGTACAGGGAGATGTGTGAAGCCCAAGGAACCAAGGGGATGGGAGACACCAATTTCTGGCCTCATCTCCACCTTCGCCAAGTTTGGTGCAATGATAGCTGGAAAGACAGTAGGCTACAGGTTTTCTCTAAAAGCCCTTTGACAGTCAAGTGGAGTCACATGGGCCCTGGTAGCAGTCTGCCTGGGTTCATTCTTCTGTTGCCAGCTGCAAGATCTGCTCACCTCAGTTTTCCCTCTATATAATGGAATGTCCTGGGTATAAAGGGATCACCCACTAGAGCTAAGGAGCAGTGCAAGGCTTATCATGCGTGCTCAGGAACCAGAAGTCATTATCATTGGCTCCACTCAGGTGCCAAATGTTCAGCTTGGTTCCAGGAAAAAAGTAGTTGGAGTATCCCAAGTACCCACAGAACTCTTCCCTCTTCCCTGGAGCCACTCCACTCCCTACGAGCTCCTCATCCCAACAACCCCCATAAAGCAGGCGGTAGCTGTTGGGTTCCCATTTACATGTGAAAAGACTGAGTCTAGTGTCAAAGGCTGTGCCTGCTCACCCTTCTATTGCCAAAACCTATGCACTCCCAAGGCCCCATATTGCTCCTAAAGCCAATGTCATCACTGAGGCGATGCCTCCCAGAGCTCAGAAGACAGTTGATGTTCACAGTGTCTGAAACACACCCTCAGGCCAAGGACCCTTCATGGGGACCCAGCATTATGCTAAGGAGATGTTAGGGGGTGAAGGCAAGAATACCCAACCCCTGTCCTAGGCTCAGGCTGCTCACCCCCGCCCCATCACCGCCTTGCCTGCTTCGTGATTGGTAATCTCACAATGTCTGCACCCTGGTCCCAGGGATTTTTTTCTGATCTTTAAAGCAGCTCCCCACACATTGTTCAGAGACATCAGATGGCCGGTCTCATGGCCATCACTGTGTGACCTTGAGAAAAAGTCAACTCCAAAAGAAATCTTCTATCCAACTTTCAGCTTATCAAACTGGTCTCTCATAGTAGGTAAATAGAGATTACTATAAGACAACACTCCAATATCACCCTCAAATGCATTTTGCTTCCTGTCCCAAGGCTTAAATTTTTATTTTATTTCCAATATTGAAAGCAAAGAAAGAGAAAAAAACACAAATGACTCCCATGCAACCCTGCTCCAAATTGCCAAATACTGAGGTTGTGGGCTTCTAATTCTCCTGGTCCCAACCTCATCAGTATCTTGTGAATATCAAGGGCAAAACTAGATGGCCACTCAGGGCCAAATGCTTCAGCCTTCTTCACCCATTGTGTAATCTACAAAGCTCTGGAAGCAACTGGATCGTAACCGCTTGTTGTCCCTTCCCTCTAACCCTGGCATAACCGCATGAATGTCTGGATAAGGGGCCATCCTGGTGTGGATAGATCACATGAGATACAGAAGTCTACATGTGTATATAGGAATTTTACTCCATGTAGAACCTGCATAACTTTGCAGCACTTTCCCAGGAAGGCCCAAGATTCATCACAAAAGCATCCATTCCTGCAGATTTCACTAAGGACAGAAATGAAGGACAGTGAGCACGGCGGGGGGGGGGGGGGGGGTTGGCAGAGCTCCACCAAGGGGACCAGATCATGGCAGCACTGCCACATCTGTGGCTTGGCCTGCTCCCTCCACACTCCTTGCGACATCTGGCAGTCCTTGTCCTTGTCTGCCCACAACCTCCGACCTATGTGGGGATCTCTGGTGACTGCTGACACTCCCTCTTTGGCCCTGCCCAGGCTCTGAAGATTACCGCAGCAGGTTCAGCAGCGAGTGCTTCATGGACCTGGTATGCCCCGAGAAGTGCCGCTGCGAAGGCACCATTGTGGACTGCTCCAACCAGAAGCTGACCCGCATCCCGAACCATCTCCCTGAATACGTCACTGATCTGTAAGTACTACCCAACCCCAACACACATTGCCACAACACACCTTGCCAATCTTAAACCAGCATAGGCAGGGACTCCCAGAAGTGACCAGTCCAGTGACAGGGATAATCCTTGGCTGGTCTGTAAGTGCTGGACCAGACAATCCCGTGGACAGTTTGCTCATGCATAAGGACAACTTCATTCATTCATTGTATTCTGACATTATTCTGAATGCCTGCTGTGAACCAGGCAGTGTGATGAGCTCAGTTTCTGCAGTAGGCAAAGTAGATAGCTCCTGCTGACCCTTGTGGAGCTTACAGTATCGCCAGAAAGATAAACGTTAAATGAAACGTGACAAATCAAGAAAACAACTAGAAGGGTCCAGAAGGGTACATTGGTTTATCCAGTATAGGAAGGGCTGACCAGGGGTTATCAAGGCAGAGCGCATAGCAACTCCCAGACCTTACTCTGATACCTGTCTCCTCCAGTCTTCCTGGAATTGGGCAAGTTGCTTCTCAGATCTGAGACTCTGCCTCTCAGCAGTAGGGTGAGAGCCAGGATGCTTGCCTTCTAGGGTGATTGAGAAGATAAAAGTACAAGAATTAATCATGAGTTCTGGCAAGGAGTAAGCCGTGAATAATTGGTGGCAGTGTCATGATGACTTCTGTCCTCTTCGGATTCAAAAATCATCAAGGATGTAGCAAAGCATGGCTCTTGTGACTCTTCCACTTTCTCTGAACACATGACAGTGTGGGGGCATGAGCCCCCTGAACTTCCCCTGGTACAGGGCAGGGGTTAGGAAAGAGCTAGGTGGCTTGGAGGATGGGGAAACCTACAGGGGTGAGGATCAAGTTGCCATTGGTACCCTCACAAAATAGATTCTTGGCAGTTGATGAGATGATTTCTGTTTTCAAAAAATGCTGTACACCAGTCAGAGGGTGCTTCTCCCAAGAGGAGGAGGGGGGCTGCTGTTTGTGCCAATCTTCCAAGAGTATGAGCCTCCTCTTCTCACTGGGCCACTCAGGACAGCCGGACAGAGGCTGATGTCCATGGCTCTCTTGACCTCTACTGACTGTGAAGCAAGAGGGGAGGTCAAGTGGAGGGCAGCCAAGAGGTCCTCTGACTGTGCTTGGCCAAACCTCACCATCTCTTCCCACACAGGAGGTTGAATGACAACGAGATCTCTGTCCTGGAAGCCACTGGCATCTTTAAGAAGTTGCCCAACCTGCGGAAAATGTAAGTCAGCTTCAGTGACTTTGCAGCTGCCCTCTCTCACTGGCCGGGGTCTGTGTTTCTAGGATCCTGATACTTCCCTACATTCTGCCTCCTTGCTGCGGCCTCTGTGGGAAGTAGGACGTGCAGACCAAAATAAACCTTTGGTGTCGTTCAGTTACAAAGTAAAGTGCATTCCCCACCTCATTCCCATATCTCCTTTCTGATCTTCATCCCCACCACTTCTTTTGTGTCTGCCCCCATTAGCGTTGGGAGGGATTCAGGTGTCTGGGGTGCATGTTACATGGTGCTTTTTGTCAGGTAATGGTTGCCAGATCTGTGTTTTGAAAATGCCCACTGTTCATCACAGAGGTTCAGTCTAGGGATCCCTGGGTCCACCTGGAGCCAGGTTTGGGCAAAAGGCCCCTTGCGCTTTTACCAGCTTCTTCACTGCTGAAGCTTCCGAGCATCGCAACCCTTGTCCTGCCTGGGATCGTGATCAGGCAAAGTCATAAGAATAACAGAGGAGTAATCCTAGGCCATGGGCTGTGTTCCCCACTTCACATATGTCAGCTTCTCTAGTTCTCTCTCCTCCATCTGGTGCTGACTTCTGTTTTCCTCTTTGCAACTGAGAAAAACATGGCTCAGAGAGGCAGAGTGACTTCTCCAAGACCACACAGCTAGCACTTGTCAGAGCTGGCTTCATTAGCCTTGGGTCCATTCGCAGTTACACAAGTGTGCTTTCAAGTTTGCATCCTACCATGCAGGACGGAGAGAGTACTCTCTGCCTCCTGACTCGCAGGAATTCTTCCCTTTGGAGCGTGCTCCACGCCCACAACTTACACACCATGTTCCTGACCCCAGAGTTTGAGTCTGCCTATGCAATAAGGGAAATATAATTGGTTCTCATGATTCAGATCACCAATGTGTTCACCTACACAGTCAAGTTTGCACAACCTCCCAGTGGACCTTCCTGTTGTGTTCAAAGCTATCCCTGGGCCTGCCCAGAGCAGCAAATCCATTGAGTGCCCCACAGGCATTTCCTGAGGTTCAACATGGTGCGCGCTGCTTTCTGATTCCAATCCCTTTAGATTGCTGTAAGCTTGGAGTTAATGGGTTATACCGCATCTTTGGAAAGGTGTATTTAAATAGAAGCACACATAAACCAAGATTACCAAGGGATGGGTAAAAATCTTGTGCCCCCAAGCTCCTGTTATCGCATCCCTATGTTTGCCGTAGGAGTGTGGGTCAGTATTCAGTTGTTTGGCAAACCTAGTGGCTGTGTGGAACACACCTTCCGTGAATAATGAGCACCAATGTCATTGTTTTCTTTTTGGCCTTCTTGCTCCTCCCCATCGTCTCCCGAAGACCAAGGGCAGCATGCCCCTCTAGGCCCTGTGCAGCTTCTGCATCTCATTGGTGCCATGTACATTTCCTCCCTCTGCCCCTGCCTGTAGTCACACGGGGGTCCCTGGCTGCAGTGGCTCTTCTGTGACTGTCGGGGGCACAACTGAGAGAGGGACATTAGTGGCTATCCTGTCATGTAGGCTACTGCCAGCTTCAGGGCCACAGCACAGCTCTCACTCATCACCTGCCAGGAGGTCTCCTGTCTCTTCACACCAGAGAAATGTGCTTTGTTTTTAACCACAAGGCACAAAGTTCCATGCATATGCAAATGAGAGAGGCAGGTATGAAAATGAGCCAAGCTGGCCCAAGTGGGACACAGGATGGAGCAGCCATGGCTTCAGTAAAGAAATCTGCACCTTTATACCTTGAGTTAAACTCAGACACCTCAAGCCTGTCTCACATCATCCATGTCTGGCAGGATCACCAGTATAGAGAACTGTTGTTTTTTTCAACATAAAAACTTCTTAGTGGTTCATTTGTTAACCTGTATTTGAACTGACCTACAGTTTGTAAAATGTTCTGACATTTAGTTTCTCTTTTGGGGCAGGCTTTACAGCTTAGTTTTTTCGTTTTTTATTTAAATATAATTTTTAATTTTATTTTTGAAGATCGTTTGCATAGTTGAGAGGGGTGTGCCTCACCATGTGGCTCTCCGATGTGGGTGGGGAGGATGGAGGTATAGAAGGTGGGTGGGATGAATGTTTCCATTACTTCTTTCTTTCTTTCTTTCTTGTTTTTTCTCCTCCTGTGTCTGCAGGGGGCTGCTCCTTGCTGTCAAATTACATCAGCACCTGGGGGATAGGGACAGTCATTTGATGATGCCTTAGAGACCCGGGTGTAGGGAAGAGTGTTCCAAGCATGTTACTTGAGTGGTTATGATTGTTCTAAGACATGGTTGGCTTCATTACACTGGAGTTGAGAAAACCTTTGCAAGGTCTGTTGAATGACAAAGTGCACCTTTGTGCATCCACAGACCTATTTCTTCATGGAAAGAAAAAAAAACAACAGCATAAACACATGAGGAGTCACAACCTACTCCCAGCCTCTGCCACCAGGCAGGAAAAGGGAGCAGTGGGAACTGTGGCAGCAGGCTTAGATTTCATCAAAAGGGGTGCATGTCCCTGACTCATCAGAGCACCTCAGAATGCAGACCAGAGATGTGAAGTGTTGCTACTTCTCCAGGCAGCCAGAAAACCAGGCATGAAGGAAGACCTGCATCCATTCTGAGGTCACCTGTCCCTCCACCCCCCGTTGTCTGACTCCAGCAATATCATCAGCCTTTCTGAGTCTTAGCTGCATCCGTTGGTTAATAGAAATAAATCTACTTTCCTGGAACATTTTGAGGAAGACTGGAAATAAATATGAAAAAATAAGGACAAATGATATGGCCTCTGGCATTAGACATTAGTAAAGCTATAAAGACATACAGGGGGAATCAAGAGTGATCCTGACAACCTCTTAACAGGAGGTCATTGCATAGAGCAGGGGGCCCCAGAGTGGAGCAGGCAGACAGGAGGAGGCTTGTATCCCAACCCTGGAGACTCCCAGATCCTCACCAAGGACTATCGGTATGGGCACCAAGGGCTATATCCCAACTACCAAGTACACCATGGGGAATTGGACTGCCCTTGTAGGTCAAGAACTCTGAGGTCATCCACTCCTTTTCGGATCTCCCACATGGAATGGAAGATGCCCAGATCCTTCCTCACAGGATCTAATGTCATTGGAACAATAGTTGAGAGCCCTGAGTGGACCTCAGAAACAGAAGGACAGTAAAGTTCCTTTGAGATGAGCTTTCTCTGGTCCTTACTTAGTTCCAACTTTGGATCCCCACCCTCTCTTGCAATGACCATCAAGGTTGCTGTGGAGCCCCACCCCCAAAAAATTTTAGATTAGATGGAGATCAATAAGGAAAGCTTAGAACCAGACAGGAAATGGTCAGCGTGGACTCACTCATACCTTACTAGGTAGGATACAAAGATCAGTTACTCCTCACTAAGGTATTGAAGATTTCTCTCCACACCCCTCCTAAAACTGTTCTGTGCCTCAACTCTTGACATATGCCTTGTTAGAGTTATAAGCCAGTTTGAACTACCCTAAAATTTGCCAAGCTCAGTAAAAATTATGCTTCAATATTATAAACTACTAAATATAAAAATAGACATGAGACTGCAGAATAGTACCCTATAGCCAGTTGTGTATAAACTAAAATTGAAATGTCAATGAAGTAGTCACAGAATGTAGTTAAGAACTTGCATTTTCTAACATATTGATCACTCAATACCATGTCAATTAACTCCATAGTGTTGTAAATTGTTGTTGATGTTATGTTGTGGCTTTTCATTGGATGGAATGATATTCTGCCAGCTCTGCTTTCAAACCAGAGATGGTCTCCCCAAGAAACTGTTGAATTTATCTGGACAATAAGATGCTGGATTCTATGCATCTCTATGCATGGTACATGCTTGCAATGAAGGAATCATGACTGGATTTGAACTGTAATACAGCAACAAGGTGGAGGAATTCACCATGGGGGGAGGGTATGGGAAGGGACTGGGGGAATCCCAGAGCCTATGAAACTGTGTCATAAAATGAAATGAAATTTGAAAAGAAAATAAGGACAAATGATATGGCCTCTGACCATGGTACTGACCAGAGAGGGAGCAGGACCATACAAGAGGGCATCTGTGCTGAGACACAGAATAACTGGTTATGCCTTGAAACAAGGCTTGCACCCTTGGACTGTTCAGAAGCCTGGGAAGTAGCGCAAATGTGGAAAGTGGCTAGGTGCAGGCCATGGTGATGATGATAATGGTAATGATAATAACTAGCCACTGTTGTACTGATGAGATGCTTTATGCCAGATAGTGCTTATATGAATTCATTGAACCCTCACGAAGAAAAACAAAATGCTTTGCGATTACTTTACTTGAAACATAGAAAGTTAAATAGCCCACCCAAAGTAAAAAAAATCAGGGTGGCAGAACCTGGAGTCAGAATTTGTGACAATACAAACTGACTCTGTGTGTGTGTGTATCTCCACATGCACGGATACTTCAGAATTTTTGTGAAAGCTAGAATGTATGAGTGCATTTTGGTGCAGTTTTTCAAAATACACTGAAGACACATATTCCAAAACATCTATACTTGTATTTCAAAAGCTTGTGCACCAAAATAAACTCGATTTCATTCTCTTTCCCAAACACTCTATGAAGTCCTGCAGTACATATAGTAGCAGCCAACCAACCAAATGACCAGTGTTGCAGATCAAGTCCCAAAGGCCACCTGCTGCTGCCACTGAGTGAGGATAACTTGATGCCCACATTATTGGTTGAGTAACAGATCGAAGGATGCTAGGATCCCATCTCTATCCCTACACCTCAGTGGATTTCTGTGTCACCCAGAGGTGAGAGCTAGCTGGGCCTGGCCTTGGCGAGCTGGGACCAGACCTGTAGCTCCTGACTGTACCTCTGCAGGACAGTTGGACAAAAGAGAACCAACACTGAGCTGGTGGGTTAGACTCTGCCAGGTCTTTCTGGACTTCGGTGCCCTTAGCTGTCAAATGGGAATATGGAAGAAGCCTATCCCTCTTAGGATGTTTGTGAGTATCAGGCAAGCCAGCAGGGATGTGGATAGAAGCAGGCTCTGCAAGAGGTGATTGTAAGTCAGCCAACCCAACACAGCATTTCAGAGCCTGAAAACTGGTGGTCCTCAAGCCTGAAGTCATGGTTGCATTCAGTGGTAGTGGTGGTTTGCTTCTTGATACGAAATAGTTGCCTACTATATTTCTTAAAGATTTTTTATTTACTTGAAAGATTGAACAGGCAAAGAGAAAAAAGAGGGATCTTCTATCTGCTGGTTCATTTTGCTCGAATGGCTTCAATGACCCGGGCTGGGCCAGGCAGAAGCCAGGAGCCTGGAACTCTGTCTAGGTCTCCTGTGTGTGTGATAGGGACCCATTTGCTGCTGCTTTCCCAGGTACATTAGCAGGGAGTTGGAGTGGAACGATAGAGCAGCTCGGACTTGAAAGCAACACAAGTGGCAAGAGCCCCAGTTGCCACTATAAAAGTCAGGAGTTTTCATAGAAATAGCATCTCGATTCTGGCATCCTTTGGAATATCAGACAATATGGTTCTGATGGCTTTGAGCAAAGGAGCCACTGCCCCTTACTAGAGCTTGTTCTTTGGGGTCATCTATGTCCCCACTGGGCCTGCTTCTGGTCAGCAGGAAGTTGCCTACCTTAATCCTATGACACTGAAACCTGCAGCCCCAGCTTGAAAGAATTCCTGTCTTATCACTTCTCTACATTTTGCTAAGATCAAATGAAGAATTCTTGCCTTGAGGGCAAGGAGAGGCCTTGAAGAAGTGGACAGAACATATGCTCGGTTATGACCCAGTGGCCTCTGCCTCCAGAGAGATACACCAAGCCCCCTTCCAACTCACAGGATTCACGCTCCTTCCCATTACCAGAGTTCAGGAGCTCCTTCCTATTGCTGGAATACAGCCCTGAGCAGCTGTGGCCTTGGGAGAGGCCAGGGCTCACCTCTGGGGCTCCTTCCCAGGGCCCGCAGAGGCCCCTGAATTTCTTGGCAAGAATGAAGGCAGGATCCTTAGCAGCTTGTAGGGTCACTGGGCCTCAGACCTGCCTCCCATCTGACTCTGAGCAAGGTGGGGCTTCTGAGGCTTGGTCAAGGCCAGAGCTGTGAGGAGCCAGTGTCCCTGCACGTGGATCTGCAGAGACAGACAGACAGATGGCCCCCTGCAGGCTCCAGGTTCAGTTTCCTGGGCGTTGCTGGCATCTGGATGTCTTCGAGAAGCTCCTGTTCTGACATGCTAGAAGGATTATAAATCCTGCCACACTCATCAGCTTGTTTGTGCAACCCCAAGCTACACTCTGTTCCCTAGCCCCTGCCACAGCCCGTGCAGTAAGCAGTGTTCTGATGAATGTGGAGAGAGTAGCAGCCAGTTCTGGAAAATTCTCTCTCCTCATTTTATTTATTTTTTTTTCTTAGCTCTCCTTCTGTTTTCCGTTCTCCTCCCCCCACCCCCGGGGAAATAAAATTTGCAAACCTTACAGTAAAGCAGTACTAATTTTGCTCATTTAAAGAAACAGATGTCAGGAAATGAGCACCCTTCCACTTTATGGCTGCCTTAGCCCCTCCTCACTGCTCTCTCCTCCAACGTCTGATTCGAATGTAACCTGCAACCTCTCCAGTGCACTACCTTCAGTCCTGTGTTCCCAGCACTGGCCACTGCGTTTAGGGAAAGCCACGCAGGGAGCAGAAAATCTAGCTCAGACCCCTGCAGGGTCTCTCCGTCGCAGGAGAGGGGTTTGGTGGGACAAGCATTTGCCCCTGTGTTACTGGGAGGACAGGGAGGGGGAAAAAAGAGGACAGAAGCATCACAAGTAGATGCTTTAAGAGGGGGCTGAGGCACCATTTGCTACCTTCACATCTGTCTGCAGATACAGGCGTGGCTGTGCTGGGGGCTAGCAGTGTGCATGTAAGTGGACCCTAAGGCACCTGTATTGTTACCTGCTCCCCACAGGTGATTTTGCCAGAACTGTACAAAGTGTAGAGCTTGGGGAAAACAGAAGGACCAAGGACTTGGCAGCTAGGCCTCAGTCTTCCCAGCACGGAAAAGGGACACACAGCCCATCTCTGTGAATATGCCAGTTCGCACAGCTTCAGTGAGCTCAGGGAATCTGCAGGCTCTGTCTCCACCTGCGCTCCCCTCCTGATCCAAGATGGCGGGTCCTGAGCCAGACTGGGAAGTGGAACTCTTCCCTCGACCACTGCAAGCAATGTCACCCTCCATTCCATCCACTTGGCCAAGGCTGTTTTTTTAAGTCTGGCTATTGAAATGAACCCCGTAGGCCCTGTCCCCAAACTCGTGGGACTGAGGGATGCACAGGAAGTGCCCTGCTGTTTCCCTCTCCAGTGTGCCTAGGGTGTTGTCAGCATCAGGCACTGGAGGGAAAGCTCTGCTGGCACAGCTTAGGACAGAAAGTGGCAGCCCTGAGGACTTGGCAGGACTGAAGGCACACTGGGGGAGGAGTTACAGCACGGCAGACTAAGCCATCACTTGGACACCTGTATCCCATACTGGCATGCTAGTTTAGGTCATCTTTTCTCTGCTTCCAACCCAGATTTCCAGGAACATACCTGGGAAGGCAACAGATGATAGCCCAAGTACTTGGGTCCCTGCTATGCAAGTGGTAGACCCAGATGAAGTCCCAGGGTCCTGGCTTCAACCCAGCCCAGCCTTAGCTGTTGCAACCATTTGGAGAGTGAACCAGTAGATGGAAGCTATCTCTCCTGTTTCTTTCTTTCATTCATTCACTGCCACTCTGCCTTTTAAGAAAATCAATACAGTTTTTATATGCAGTCTTACCTTCTGCAAAGCAATCATACAAGGAAATGTCCACAGCCCCAGTAAGGAATTCACTTAGGACACACACACACTTTAAGAAAGCACTTTTTAAGTGCCAGAGCCTGGCTTCCAGTTCTGGTTCTCTCAGCTGTGTGAGTGTGAACAAGTTACTTAATCTCTCTCACCGCTCGACCTCTGACTCCTAAGACAAGGTAAATCTGCCTTGTGGGCATTGATGTGAGGTTTGACTGTCATGAAATCAGTCAGATCCCTCCTGTGGGGTCGAGTGTGCTGAAAGTACTTCCTAAGTGGTGACTAAAAGGTGTGCACCGCTCTCAGGGACCCAGGAGAAAAGCTGGAGGTCCCATGAATTTCCTACTGCCACAGGAGGGGAGCCTGCTCCTTGATGCCCCACCCTCCCCCATTTCAGCATTCCTGCTATGGGAGAATGTTTGGTGTTAGACTCATCAGCCTGGGACCACTGTGTTAAATCTACCAGCAACCCAGGGCATGAAAGTGACAATTACGTGGAAAAATTGCCAAGTCTCATGAAATCTGCTTCAGTGCTAGGGGCCTGGGTCCCCACGGCCAGGGAAAGGGGCTAAAGACCAAACATCACGAGTCCACAATTGAGTCTCTCCCCTGCCCCAACAGCACCACCGCCCAGGCCTTAACCCACAGGCTCCCCTCCCTGCACCCCAACCCTCTGCTCTCCCTGATTCTCCCTTGTTGTTCTGTCTCTCTTAGAAACCTGAGCAACAATAAGATCAAGGAGATGCGCGAGGGCACCTTTGACGGAGCAGCCGGCGTGCAGGAGCTGCTGCTGACAGCCAACCAGCTGGAGAACGTGCATGGGCGCATGTTCCGAGGCCTCACCGGCCTCAAGACCTTGTGAGTGCAGTGGGGCCAAGGCCCAAGGAAGGAGGGAGGACAGAGGAATCTGAGAAAGACGGGGAGGGCTGGCAGGGACTGGGTTGGACCTCGGTGCTGTCTTGGCCTGTGGAGTTGCTGCTGTGGTCAAGGTTATCCAACATTTCAGAGCCTTTCGTAGGAAAGAATTCAGCATGCCAAATACCTCCTAATGGAGACACCTACACAGAAATACACAATTAATTCATTCACTTGACTGTATGTTCATTTAAGAGTTGTACTAGAACTTGCCTCAAGAAGCAAATACATATTTTTCCATAAGCTGTGACATTTTTAAAATTTCATAGAAAATGAAATTGAAGGATAAGTTTATTTGGGTACCAAAAAAATCTGAAATTCATGCATATGTGAACACGGTCTTCAGAAAGGTCATCATTGTACGTACTATGAAAAAAACCTTGAGTTGATTTAAACATTTTTTTGCAATGAAATAAATTTACATTTTAATTCCTTTTTTCCGTTACATTTTCGAAGTATCCTCATACACATAGTTGTAAGAAAGACACATCCTGTGCAGAGTGCCTCCAACTCCAGCTTCCTTCCAGTGCACACCCTGGGAGGCAGCCAATGATGGCTTGAGTGGTTGGAGCCCTTCCAGCAACGTGGAAGGTCCAGATTGAGGTTTGGCCTCCTGGCTTCAATCTGGTCCAGCCTTGGCAATTGGGAAGTAAACTAGTGGATGGGTAAGTGAGCGTGCTCTCTCTCTGTCTCTCTGTTTCTCTATCTTTCAGATTTTCAAATGACACAAAAAACAAGCAGCATGAAAACATGCATATAAAGCAGAGAGACAGAAGTACACACAGAGAATCCGACGTCCACAGACTTCTTGATTCTCCTTCTGCTCCCAGAAATACACATGCACATCATCATCATCATACAGTGTGCATATGTACATATACAAACCCGTGATACATTCATACTCAAGGAAGAAGACATGCACAAACAAGAGTGTACACACAAGTTTACAGGGAGTCCCAGCAAAGTCCCAGGCCCTGCTGCCACAGGACAAAGCTGAGAAAATGGACAGTCTGGGCTCAGAGTGAGCAAAAGCATCCCCCCTACACACATGTGCACACACACACAAACACACACCACTGGTGCACTGTCTGCCTAATGCCTGTGCTTCTGTGTTCCCATGCCTCTCCCTGCAGGATGCTACGGAGTAACTTAATCAGCTGTGTGAGCAATGACACCTTTGCTGGCCTGAGCTCCGTGAGGCTGCTGTCCCTCTATGACAACCGGATCACCACCATCATGCCCGGGGCCTTCACCACGCTGGTCTCCCTGTCCACCATGTAAGTTCTGGACCCACTGCCTGTTCAGGTAGGGCTCGGCTTCTGCAGACTTGGCCCATCTCAGCTCCTTGTTGCCTTTAGCCAAGATCATCCACTCATTCATTTGGTTGACAAGACCTGTTGGGCTCCCTATGTGTGCCAGGCAGCAGGTAAATGTTAGGGTTGCACAGTCCTCGCTCCTCCAGCCCAGTGCTCACCCAATCAAGAATTTGCACATGAAAGAGGCCCATGGTACTCTGAAAACCCTTGGTGATCTTCTTGAGAAACTCTCAAGCTATCTTCAGGCAAGTGTATATCTGTATAGAGAGTGCATGCAAAGACCCTGTGGTTGGTTATAACAGTGTAAATGTGCAGCACTGTGCAAAGTCCAGCATGGACATAGCATTCCTTGTGATGAGGTAAGGCCAAGCTAGAGAGGACGCCAGGGCCAGGCTATCAGACCGTGATGAGCTGTTGGGAGTTTCACCCAAAGCATTTCAAACACTGAAACTTGTAAGTAGATCGGCGACATGGTTAGCTGGAAGTTTAAAAAGATAGTGACTGCTTCAGTGTTATCAGAAATAGGATAGAAATCCAGCTCTCTGGACAGCTGAGCGAGCTAAACTACCTGGGTTGTTCACTGTACTGTAAGGAAGGCTGGGCGGACTAACCATCAAGACTCCAGGGCCAGAGTTCCTGGGTTCATACCCTGGACTCACCTCTGGCTCACCGGATGCTCTTGGAGTCCTCCATGCATTTTTGCTGCAGTGTTCCTTGCTGCCTGGTCCACCTCCAAGGTCTGTGATGAGGCTTGGATGTGATACGATATGTGAAGCCCACAGCTAGAGCCACTGTGGACGGACTCAACACAAGGCTATTTTATGGCTGTGTGTGGTGTTTGCATGTGGCTCGGTTATTGTCCCATCTCTTCCCTTCCCCAAAGGCCCTTGGGAAGAAGAGAAGAAAAGCCGTTGCTGCATCTCTTGTGGCTGCCCGTTGCTAGCCTTCCTGTCTGTCGGTTCCTTGCCTCAAAGTGAGGCCAAAGCAATTCCTTCACAATTCTTCCTCCCTCACAGCCAGCACCTAGGCCTCCCCCTGTGCTTGCCCAGTTGGAACTTGGCACCACTTGTTCCTGCTGCATGAAACGCTCTTTCTCCCAGTCTCTGTGGCCTCTGCTCTTGGCCCAGGTGTCACCTGCACCCCCTAGGGTCCCCCTAACCCTGCTCTCCCACTGGCATTTGCCACTCCCTGAAGTTGTCTGTGATGTACTTGTTTGCTCGTCCTCTAAGTTCCAGAAGGGCATGGGTACTGGTTGCTTAGTCCCCAGCACTGTCCTCCATGTTCGCATCTATGCTGGCAACACAAGCAGGTGCTCAATCTATAGTTCTGAAGAACCTAGTTGAATGAATGCATGACATCTACAGGCAGGAATGATGGGTTAAACACTCACATTGATGGGTTGGTTCATTTTAGCCCACATTGAATTCCACCCCTCTTAGGGGGCTCTGTGCTGGGAATCCAGAGACAGACAGAAGATGTCAAGATGGATGGAGGCAGAAAGCATAAAGGGAACCAACTGTGGCATGAGTAGCTTGCATGTCAGCATGAGATTCAGCCCCAGTAGAGATGCCTCCTATGTCTGTCCCTGCTGTGTCACCACCCAGCCACACCAGGGCCATCAGTCTCTGGGACACCTCCTAAAACCTAACTTCCTCACTGGTGCAGGAAGAAGGGTGTTGTTTTCTCTCTAGGGTGGTTGGAACAGGTTTGAATGGGATAATGGATGGATAATGAAGTTCCATGATCCCAGGCTGATAGGAAAATGACAGTGGGACAGGCATTTAGCCTAGTGATTACAATAGCCATGTCCCATTATCAGAGTACCTAGAGCTCGGTCCTGGCAGACACTGCCAGGACAGGACACGGACAGGAGCAGTGATGGTTCATGTACTTGGCTTCTATAGACGATTGGCTTTCCAGCCCTGAACTTCAGCCATACCCAGCCCTGGCCATTGCAGGCATTTGGGGAGTGACCAAGGAGGCAGGAGCTTTGTGCATGTATGTGTCTGTTGGCAGGGGAAGGGGAGGTTGTGTTGTGCATGCCAATAAAGAAAGGGATAGTGTTTGTCATACCCTCATCCTGCCTCAGTTTAGCAGTTTTGCCCAGAGGTACATGCTGAGTGCAGGTGGTGACCTGTGCTAAGATTCTAGAGACCCGGAGGGAAACAGAGCTGGTTTCTACTGCCACAGAATACAGAGGCCAACACACAGGGCAAATGTCAAAAAGGCGCTGACAGCCAAGGCCACACACTCCACTGGGTGCTGCGAGAGAACAGCAGGGAGCTAGGAGGGGGCAGCTGAGGGCTCACTGTCCCAAAGTACGTGGAGGGACTCCGCGGAGGTCTCTTGTCCACGGGTGAGGACCACAGACTGAGAAGGAACCTGCCAATCAAACTGCAAAGAAACCAGTCCTGGCAGGAGGAGCAGCAGGTGGGAGGCCTCGGAGGACCAGAGGGTGTCTGCAGATCACAGTGAGCGAGGGCCTGGCAGGCAGCCTGACGGGGACTGAGGGGGCAGAGCCAGGAGCATTCCCCACAATAGCCTGTAGAGGCCACTTCAGAGAGGACCCTTTTCCTCCCAGAAACCTCCTGTCCAACCCCTTCAACTGCAATTGCCACCTGGCCTGGCTCGGCAAGTGGTTGAGGAAGAGGCGGATCGTCAGTGGGAACCCCCGGTGCCAGAAGCCCTTCTTCCTAAAGGAGATTCCCATCCAGGACGTGGCCATCCAGGACTTCACATGCGAGGGTGAGACGGCGGAGGAGGGGAGGGCGAAAGGGAGGGGAGTCCTGTGGGAGGAGAACAGCCAAGCAGGTGCCTCAGCCCAGATTCCCCTCTGCCCCCTCTGCCTGGGCGCTCCACAGCTCTGCTGCTCCTGTGCTCAGAAACCTGCCACATCAAAACAACACACCTGTCGACTAAAACAAACCACTACCATCCTGGAAAACACGGAGATACCTTTGGCATGTCCATGCATCTTGACCAGCATTAAAATGGGGGCCACCTTAGGTAGATGACACCCTTGTGCAGTATACGGCCTGTGTAACTGCCTGGGCACTGTGGGCCTCGATCTTTCCTGCCTACATCATGATGGGGCTTTAACAGCAAAAGCCCCATCACTGGGCTCTGGGAGTGTAAACAGGGAAGATCCAAAGGAGTCCGTCGTAGGATCTTAGAGGACATGGATGTTTGGGAGCACCAACTCAAGCCAGCATGGCTCTTTACTAGTTCAGCTGAAGATTGAAGTAGTCAAACAGTCAAATGGACTGGTTTGCAGAAGGGGAGCTGGAGATATACCCACCACGCCAAAGGGACGGTGGAGTTGTGCGAAGGGGCAAAGAGGAAAGGAAAGGGGAGAAGAACAGGACTGTGCTCCTGCCCTGAGCAAGCCTCATCAACTTGGCTTGTTCCAGTAAGCTGAGCAGTGGCCTCCTTTCTGTCTGTGACTCTGGTTACTCAAGTCTTGCTCCATGTCTTTGATTGTCTTCATTTTATGTCACAGCACATGGCCCCCAGTATGTACCCTTCTTCCCCAACTGCGGGAAGACCAGCAGGTTCTCTTTCCTGGCTCTGGTTCAGAAAATAAGACCTTGCATTTTACCCAGACATCTGATCTTGCCCACTGCCAATCCTACACCCTCCAGGAGTGATGTCTGTCTCCCCCCACACTCACCCTCTGTGGGGCATTCCACAGGCAATGACGAGAGCAGCTGCCAGCTGAGCCCACGCTGCCCGGAACAGTGCACCTGCATGGAGACGGTGGTACGATGCAGCAACAGGGGGCTCCGTACCCTCCCCAAAGGCATGCCCAAGGATGTCACCGAGCTGTAAGTGTCCCACCCCTTTGAGTGGCGAATAATTGTACTACCCCCAGCTTCCTCAGGGCAGACACTGAGCAGAATGGCAGTATGGCCTTTGCCATAGGCTCAGGGAGGGAGCAAGAAACACAGCTTCCCCAGGACCTCTGCCCAGCTGGGGAGGTGAGCATGACCTTGCTCCCCTCTAAAGATGCTCCAGGCTGCAGGTTGCAGGTGCACTATGCACTGAGGGTTAGGGCTAAGTCCAGCTGCCTTGCACATCAGGGTTATTTCAGGCAGAGCTGCCAGATTAAAAAACCAAATGCAGTTTCTTGACTGAGAAGTAGAGGCAAAGTTACCAGCACTTTTGCAAAGAACTGGGTGCTGGAATCGATTACAGAGTTCACGCTGTGCCATCAGGCCGCAACGTGTTCCAGCCAGGAGAGGAGTTCTCCACGCAGGACTCTGCAAGTGCTCGGCCATCCTCGTCTTTCTGTCTCCTCTCCGCTCTCTGTTCCTGAGTACATCAGGCTAGACTGAGTCCTTATTGGCTCAATCCGCCTCACCTTTTCTCGCTGCAAGAGGACTGCAAGGCCACCTACTCTCTAGGGCTGGAGGAAGTTTCAGACGAGGGAGGTTCGCTTGTTCAAGTCTCAGGATCAGCCAACAGGCTGGATGGGCTGGGTTAGTCCTCATCCCGGGAGTCCTTCGGCCACTTACAACCTATGTTTCTAAATTTCGCGTGTTTCAGAAGCAGCAAGGGCGCGGAGCCTGTGTGTGGGAGTTATCACTGACACCTGCCATATTTGAAAGCAATGGCAACATTTTGTTTAAAAACACTTTATTATTTCCATGTGCAAATCACAATTATTTTTCTACCACCTGCTTATGCCAAAATCCTAATATGAAGACCAAAAACCCAAAAGAGACTTGACTGGTAAAGGTGTTTTTAATGTTTTTGCAAATCTCTGTGCTGTCTGGCTTCACGGAAGACAGCTGAGGTGGATTTTGCTGTCTACTTCATATTCACTCGGCGGGCAGGGGGTGCCCGCCTGCTCTATTGCTTGGGGTGAGGGGATCAAAAGAAAATCACAGGCATGTGGCTAGAAAATGGAGGATTGCCACTAGCCTTCTCAAATGCTGTATGTTGGTAACACAACCCCTCCCAGCTGTTGTTGTGGTACAGCAAGTTGAGCCACAACTGCAGCATCAGCATCCCATATGGGAATATGGATTCAAGTTCCACTTGCACCATTTCCAGTCCAGCTCATTGCTAATGCCCCTGAGAGAGCAGCGGAAGGTGGCCCGAGAGCTTGGATCCTTGTCATCCATGTGTGAGACTAGGATAGATTCCTGGCTTAGCCTGGCATAGCCCTAGCTATTATAGCTGTTTGGAGATAGATTTGTTTTTCCCCTCTTTCTGTCACTCTGCCTTGCAAATAAAGAAACATCTTAATGACAAACACAAAAGTCTTAAAAAATAAAAAACCACCCAACCCACCCATGGGGCATTGTGGAGCCTGCCACCATATCCGTGAAATGATATCCTCAATTCTGCGAAAGAGGTCCATCTTATATGTTAAACAGAAAACTTCCTCACAGCCGTGAACTTGTAACATCACCCACCGGCCAACTGGCAGATACTGGCTCACCAATATGCAGAGTTTCCAGCTGTTGAGTACGTCATCATTTAGTATCAGAAATGTCACAGCGTTGGTCTCACCACTCATCTCAGCAGCTGCTTCTGTGAGTGACAGGCAGCAGTCACACTCAAAGCTTTGATTCTCCCCCTGGAAGCTCACGTTCTTTTCCATTGGCAATGACCATTGTCCATAGCTTTCTCTGACGGCGACGGGCGCACTCTGCTTATTGCCAATAAATTGTCTCCAGAATGCCTGTGCCTGAATAGCCAGTTTGCTGGTCATTCTTCTTAGTAAAAATAGTATTTTGTGAAGGAAAGTGGCAAAGCCCAGCTGGCTCCATATGCAGCTGAGCTCGCCAGAGCCTTTCCTCAAGGCACACGGCACACTAGATGTGCATACTTGCTGTTTTGTCACGCCGAATGTTGGAGAAATGTGAGCTCAGGAGTTAATATATCATTGTTCTTGCTTCCTCAAGGGCATGCTTAAATGAAACTGAGGGGTTTTTTTTTTCCATTTGTTTCTTTGAGGCAGACACCCACACACCCATCCCCACCCCACCCTCCTCTCCCCCTCCTCAGAGACAGAGAGAGCACTGTACACCCTGACTGTACCCCATCTGCTAATTCACTCCCCAAAGTGAGCCCTAGGTATTGCTGAAGTCAGAAGGTGGAAATACAGTCCTGGTTTCCCTGGTGCTTGGCAGGAACCCAACCACTTGGGTCATCCTGCTGCCTCCCAGGCTCTGCCACGGTAGGAAACTGCACTCAGGAACCAGAGTGAGGGAGAGTGCAGACAGGGATGTGGGCGTCTTAACCATGAGGCTAAATGCTTCTTGGGAGATTTGTTTCTCAGCTAGAAATTATAGAGAGGTGTGTAATATAGTGACTGCCAATATCATTTGGAATCAGTGCCCCTACTGTGTGCTGAGCTGTTAGGAGTTTACCCTCCACTGATTGTTCTTAAAATGTTTATTTGATTGATTGATTGACTGACTGATTGATCTTGAGAGGCAGAGTGACAAGAGAGGGAGAGAAATCTCCCTTCTGCTGGTTCACTCCACAAATGTCTGCAGTGGCTTGGACTAGTCAGGCCAAAGCCAAGAGCCTAGAACTTCATCTAGGTCTCACATATGGGTGGCAGAGGCCCAAGCACTTGGGTCATATTCTGTCTTCTTTAGACACATTTGCCGTTGACTGCCTTGGAAACAGAGTGGCCAGGACTAAAAGCCAGTATTGTGTTAGGGGTTATCAACATTTCTAGTAAAAGTTTGAACTCATTGTGCTACAGCACCAGCTCTCCTACACTGCTCTTTTATCTGTGCCAGTGCAAGCATCAACCTAGTACAAAAGGAAGACAATGTCTTAGCTCAAAGATAATTCTGGTCTCATAAGCCCCTGAAATAGTCATGGAGATATTAGGTGCCCATGGATGACACTCTGAGAATCAGGATACACTCCACACCGGAAGCAAGCACCACAGGGACACACCTGCTGTCTGCCACTGTCAGGCTCCTGAATTAGAGGCCAAGGCTTCACGCTTCCAGAAAGCAGCGACGTGGCAGAGAAAGGGTGTCTTAGCTCCCAAAGTCACAGGTGCACACGCCCCACATCTTCAGAAAGCACAGTTGTTGCCGTGCAGAGGTTTTTTTTACACTTGGACATGCATTATTGCCCATGTTTGCTTCCATTGAGGCATGCTTGCAGACAGCAACTCTTCCCGTGCTAAAGGCAAACTGCAAGCTTATGTCTTCGCAGGGCTCTGGGAGAGAATGAGGACCCGGTCTGGAGGGCCCCACAGTCCTCCCTCTGGTTCAGGTGCTAGAACACTTGATACCGGACCTGGTCTAAGGCTCTTGCTCATGGATTTGTCACTAAGATCCAAGGAGAGGAGAGGAAGGGGTGACAGGAAGTAGTAGTTTATGTCAGGATGTGAAGTCTGAGAATGTGAGATGTCGGTTGACAGTGGGCGCCTGAGTGCTCAGATGTGCATGCAGTGAGCATGAGTGTGGCAAGAGGTGAGCAAGTGTGCATTCGCTGCAGGAGATGGGGTGCCCAGCCTGCCTTGGCTGACTCCGAGGGGTGAGTTAGTAGATAAAAGTTTCAGTCCAGAGACAAGCACAGTGGAGCATTCTGCTCATCTGTAGTTCTGTCATTATTATTATTTTCCACGATACAGTTTTGTAGCTTGTAGAGGTTCTTCCCTAAGCATAATGGTCTCTAGTTGGGAATTTTAATTTTTTTTAAGTGATAGGATTTCATTCTTTTTTATGGCTGAGTATTATTCCATAGAGTAGATATGCCACCATTTCTCTATGATTCATCTATTAATGAGCATCTGGGTTGTTTCCATGTCTTCGCTATTGTGCTGCTATAAATATGAGGGTGCAGGTTGCTGTTTCATATGCTGATTTTATTTCATTTGGAAATATTCCCAGGAGTGGGGTAGCTGAATGATATGGTAGATCAATCCTGACCTATCAGAGCAGCCTTCATGGTGACTTCCATCGTGGCTGCTCTGGTCTACACTCCCACCAGCTGTGGAGCAGGCTACCTTTCCCTTCACGTCCTCACCAGCAGTTGTTGTTTCTTGTGTGCCATTCTTACTGAAATTAGGTAGAACCTCAATATGATTTTTATGGGTTTTCCTAACTCATCTGCGGTTTAATTAGGTGGTGGGCACCCATGCAGGAGAAAAGGCAGAGCCATGAAGCAAGTGGCAAACAGGAAGGAGTGGCTTAGGCAGGCTGTGCCCTGGGACAGGGAGGAATCCTGGAAGCTCTGCCAATGCCAGCCTTGAAGAAAACAAAGGAAAACGTCCTCTCCACCCTGCACAACCCATAGCTGCTGCGTATGGAGCTTGTGCTGTGTGCCGGGTGCTGCACCAGCTACATCTGTCATGTGATCTCATTTCATCCTGCCAACATCACTTCAAAGCAGGTAGCATTCACCCCATTTCTGCAGGTCAATCAGCTGAGGCCTGGGAAGGCTGAAGGAGTGAAGGTCATAGCCAACAAGCAGCACAGCCCAGGCTCAAACCCAGGTTGGCTGCAGTGACACAGGGAACCCGGGGCCCCCATGATGCAGGTGCCTGTTGCTCATTATGGCCAGGTCGACAGCTGGGCCTTATCCAACTATGCCGCTGCTGCCCAAGAAGAGGCTGCTGCTATCCAGACACCCCCAACGCTGAATGGGCTTTCCAGAGCTTCAAATAGAGTGACTGCCCACTTCCCCTCTCTGACCCAAGGGGAGAGACTGGAATGTGCCTGTTAGCTGAAGGGCAGCGATCCTGCCTTGGGAGAACAGGCCAGCTCTGGGCACAGCCACGTGGAAGAGGTCTGGTGCCACTTCAGGAAAGGACACTTGGGGCCATAGCAGGCAGTCACAACCATCTGCGGGAGGGACAGAGAGGCCAGTCACCAGCCATGAGCCAGGAGAGCTCCCTTCACTCATTCCAGTGCTCATGGAGCTGGTAGGCCAGACACTGTCGGCAGAGTTGGGAATACAGCAACCAAAGTGACAGGTGGGTCCCCTGGAATCAGAAACGTCAGATCGGAGAGAAAGACAGTGAACTAACTCACCAGTGGAGTGGGGTTTTCTGGGGAAAAAATATAGGGGTGAAAGGGAGAGAAAGTACACATTTGTGAAGACATACCCCCCCAGGTGACAAGCGCTTGCATTCTAGGAAGCAGGTAGGCCTGGGTGTGAAACAAACAGAATGAGAAAGGGTGGTGTGTGCTGAGAGCTTGGGGCAGCATCTATGAGCCTTGTAGGCTGAAATTAGAAGATAAGCTTATTGTCCCTGCAAAAAAAAAAAAGTGTTGAAGACCTTGCAGGGTTTTTTTTTTTTTCAATAATACATGTTTTCCATGAACTTTTTTGCAAACCCTTCTTATGTGTATATATGTGTACATATATGTATGTATAATAATCTTCTAGGATCGCACCGATAACAAAAGCTGCAGATGCTCAAGTCTCTTATAAAATGGTGCAAGATTAGCATAGAAACTAGGCACAGCCTCCAGGATACTGTAAAATAAGCTAGATTATGAAGCAAGTGCTATGTAGGTAGTTGTTGCCGTGTACTGTCTAGAGGGTAATGACAGGGGGCAGTCTGTACATATTCAGTATAGACAATTTTTTTCCAAATATTTTTGAGCCACAGTTGGTTGAATTTATAGCTACAGAACTCATAATGCTGAGGGGCCCACCTAAGTGCCTATCTTAAAAGTTCCTAAGAAATACGTATTAACAAAAAAACCCATGCATTTCAAAATGTATTGCACCCAAATAAAGTGATAATTCCATTATTTCATGAACTTTTTCAAGTACCCTTCTCTATTCCAAATGTGTTGAGCACGACCTGGTGTTTTAGGCTCAGATCAAGGCCTACCCATAAAGACCCATTTACTCTGCTCTGTCATGTCAAGGTGATCATTATGAGTCCCATTCTACAGATGAGGAAATACAAGCTCAGAGAGCCTGATCACCCAGCGCTAGGTCACACTGCTATCAGACAGTGGTCCAGAAGTGATCCTCTAACTCTTCAGTGACGCTCCCCTCACTCCTGGCCTCCAGGGCTCTCCTGGAGGGTGACTGCCTACCCTCTCCCCATTCCACTGAGCCAAGAGTTCTTTGTGGGGAGTTATCCATTCAGTGAGCTCAATGTGGGTTTTCATGCAGGGTGGCTACACCCTCGTGCACTGGGTGCCAGTATGCCAGGCTGAAGCAGAGCATTTAAATGCAAGTCAGCACAAAAGGTTGACCTGCTGGAAATGCTCAGTACTTCTAAGGTTTGGGGGTACAAAAGGGCAGGCTTCTGAAAAGTCCCTTGGGGGCCCCTGGGCTACCAGCTACAGAGAATTTTGGAGTTCAGAGTTTTCATCAAGGGCTTCCTACAAAGAGAGCTTTGCCACACAGCCGCATCTGCATTTCTGAAGGGGAACCTTTTGATTGCACATCTTCCGAGAGTGGGGATGCCAAGTCGCCAGGGACATTCTGTACTCAGAGCAGCGCCCGCTCTCTTTCACACTGCCAAATGCGGCTCCACCTGTGGAGCCCTGGGGTTTCATCAAACCCATGATGCATTCTGAGCATCTGCTGTTGCCAGGCACTGGCTGGGAAGACAGAGACGAGCATGCCCAGTGTGACTCTGTTGACGTGAATCACAGAATCACACTGCAGACATCCAGGGGAGGGTTAGATCTGTGAAGGAACATATATTCAGAAGTGTTGGGAAACTGTAGCATCACCGGTGGGTATGGGGGCTGATGTCTGGGAAGTGTTGCCAGTGCTCAGATTCAAGCATCTGCAGGAGTCACCCAGGTTGGAGAAGGAGAGACACACACTAAGTCGCCACGCACAAAGGGTCCTGGGGCCTACAAGAAAGGGTGAGGTCAGTGGAGTTGGAACCAGAGCCCAAGGAAGAGTTTGGTGTAGGTTTAATCAGAGGGGGAGCAGGTGCATGATGCTTAATTTTATATCTGGCTTGGCTAAGCTGTGGTGCCCTTGTTTGGCCAAGTACCTAGTCCAGTTGTTGATGTGAAGGTGCTTTGTAGATGCAGTTAACATCTGCAGTAAGTTGACCCTTTAAGTGGAATAAAAAAAAGCCTAACATGAAGGGCAGCCTTTTCTAATCTGTGGAGGACCTTACAAAGAGGAAAAACATTCCCCAAAGAAGGAATTTGCATCATGATGATGACAGAAACCCTGCTTGAGTTTCCAGCCTGTCAGCCTGTCCTATAGACTTTATCCTGCCAGACCCCTAGCTGTGTACCCAAGTCTGTAAAAATAAAATTCCTCCCTCGATGAAAGGAAGATGTCGAAGGACAAAAATCCTAGCTACTTAGAACCGAATTGGCTTTCCTTTCCTCATTCTAGAACAAGGCAGCACTTCATTCCAAAAGATACAATAATGGTTCCCAACAGGCTTTGCATAAGAGGTTGATGTTATACAAGGAGATAGAATGAGAGCAAAAACTAAAAACTCCCTGTCCTGGAAGGGAAGTCTGGGGTGACCAATCAGTTCCTGAACTTTGGTCTCTCTGAAGTCTCCACAAAACACCTGCCAGCCGAGCTCCTGAAGTTTCAGTGAGGTCACAGCCCACTGCAGTGGAACTCCACCCCAGAGAAGGCTGGCAAGTTGGTGTGGGTCTTGGCAGGACCCTTCTTCTCATTGTCACTTACTTGCCTGAAGGCACACAGAAGGCCCTGCTGAAGCCCCCTCCAGATGTGTTTGCCACAGGCCTTCAGTACATCCCCGCTCTCAGCAAGCTGACCAGAGGTTGGGCTGTGTTATTTTGCTTTTCATCTTGGATGCCTCAAGTTTGCTAAATTATTGTAGCAAATGGAATCCATGGAAGGAGGAGAATGGACAGCCTAGAAGAGCACAGGCAAGCCACCATCAGTCTGAGCTCTGCTTGCTCCGTGGAGGCTGAACCCTCCTCTTCATCCTGCTGCTGTAGCCAGCTCCTGCCTCTGAGTGTTCCCTGTGTTCCCTGAAGGCACACTGCCTACAGAACACATCCAGCAGGTGGTCATGGCAGGGTCTGTCTTCTCAAGCTTTACCTGCACAGAGCCTGGGATCCTGACACACCTCCTGCTGGAGCCTCCCTGATAGCTGAAAGGAAGCCCCCTATGGCTACCCTTTCCTGCCACTGGTGGAGAGATGGAGAGGCAGGCCCCGTACTTAACCAGTGCCATTGTCCACTGCCTTTCCTTCAGCGAAGGAAGGAAGGGAAATTCAGGCAAGACAGTCCTGAAGCACTGTGTAACACCTGCCAGCTGCACCTGCATGCAGTCAGCGTTTGTCACTGTGCTTTGAATAAAATGATTTCCAGCACCTCAGCGTGATCAGCCTAGTGTCCCACCATCCTCCCTGACCCATGTGACTGCAGGCTTTGTCAACATTTGCTCAACAACTCTCTCTCAGGACTCTCCTTGCTATATCCAGGACTTCCCCCAATTCACCTATCAGTTGGCTTTCAAACATCTCTTCCTCCACTATGTCTTTCTACAGTGAACCCCTTGGCATTCCTCACCTTAGCACTTTGCTGGTTCCCTCCAAAACACAGACCAGGGTTTCTCATTTATATCCCTTTCATGTGTTACATTACCCGCATTCCTTCCTCTTCCATCCCCTAATAAATTTCCAGTTGCCCCAAATCAGGCATTGTGTCTGTGTTATTCACCTGTGTAAATATCAGCTAGCACATTGCAGGTACTCAGTAAAGACTTGTGCCTGAGTAAATGAATGCATTTCTTTGGCACCTTTACCTGAGGGCAAGGTCCAAGTGGGATCCAGTTCATCTTCAGTTCTACCCCCAGCACCTTGTGTGTAATCCTTGGCTCATAGTGCATGCCTGCCAAAGAAGCAAGGACCAAAAAAGACACTTGTTCTGCTTGCTAAGTGTCCAAATGCATATCAAGTGATGCTCAACTTTGAAATAGGGTACTACAGTTGTTACTCAGTTCTCTGGCCACTGTTGTGGTGAAGTAGAAGCTGTGAGGATCATGGTAAAAGTGCAGTAAGAAGATCTGGATTCAAGTCCTGGTTCAACCACTGGCTTGCTGTGTGAGCATTTGTACATATTCCAATGTCTTTGAACTTCTGCTTCCATGGCTGCAAGATCCTACCCCACAAGGAGATTGCAAGAGCTGGGCATAGAGTGGGTACTTCATTGAGTGTACAGTTGTCATCATGGTGGACAATTTTAGACAAGCGCCCTGGTGAAGAAAGTCTGAGAGTGTGTGTGTGCAGGGCCTCTCTTCCAAGTGTTGTCACTCTGTGCTTCTATTTCAGGTACCTGGAAGGAAACCACTTAACAGCTGTGCCCAAAGAGCTGTCTGCCCTCCGACACCTGACTCTGATGTAAGGCGCGTTGGGTGGGAAATTTATTTTTCTGTCCTGGGAAGGGCCTTCAAGAAGTTAACATGAAGGGTGACAGAGAAAGGGGCTGCAGGCTGACATGCCATATCTGCCATTCTCCATGAGTGCAGCATAAGGAGGAGCAGACCTGCCTAATGGGTCCAAGACTTACCCATTGTGACCTCCATGCCAAAGTGCCCAGACCCTGTGCCATCAATACCAGATTCCCTCTGGGCATCCAGCAAGGAGGCCCCTGTCCAGATTCCCAAGCCATCTCAGTCTCCCATTCTCGTCAGCTGTGGTCCCCTGAAAATATCAGTGGGAGCTTCTTCCTCCTCTAGTTGCCTACAAAATGTCCTAAGTGGATAATCTGAACTGAAGATCCTTCTGGAGGTAGTTGCCACTTGCTGCGAGTTTGCCAGTACCCAAGAGAGCCACTTAATGAGGAGCAGGGCTGCAGAACCCAGAAAACTAGGCAATCCATGAGCTTTGCAAAGCTTGCCACTGCCTAGCAGTGTTAAATAACTCTCTGGGCAAGTGGTCATTGAAAGAAGCCCATGTCTGTTTGAGTAGCAGGGAAGCAATCCAAAGGGGAAATAAGAAATGGTTCAGAAGGAAGGGGCATCGCCCTTGAGAAAGGAAGAGCCCTGCTGAGGAAGGGAGAATAACACCTGTCTTGGGACTAGGATTCTAGAACTTCTCATAGCCACCATGTAGAAGGGAACCAAGAACTTGGGGCCAACTGTTCCTATCATTCTTAGCTGTGGGAGTGCCATCCTGGACATTATATGGTGTTTAGCAGCACTTCTGGCCACCTCAACTGAATGCCCATAACATTCTCCCCAGCGTGGACAGCCAGTGATGTCTCCAGATACTGCCACAGGTCACTGGGGGAACAAAAGTGCCACCCCACAAGTTGAGAACCACTTTTCTGGAGCAATGCTTCTCAGGCCAGCGTGATGTGAACTGCAAGTGTCTTTTCTGTTTTTCATACTGACACACATGTCTAGTGTTCTTGTAGTGAAATTAGATTATGTGAATGCGGGACCCAGGCAGCCAGTATTTCAGGAACCCTCTGGTAATTCTACTGTATGAAGGATGTTGCCAGTACTCTAGATATTTCCAGAAACTACTTGCCTACCAACTTCATTCCTCCTAAGAAAGGGCTTAGTAGAATGTAATAAAACATGAATGCCGGAAGAAGAGAGTGGGGAATATTGAAAGGAGAATTGATTAGGGAAGGGAGGTGGGGAAAGCCTATTAAAATGAGACATTGCTATTGTATTATTATGTTTTGTTGCTCAAATAAAATAAATAGACATGTAGTTGAATGATTGCATAGCTGAATAAATAAATGAATAGAGGAATGAATGACAATTGCTTAAATGATTACATAAGTACTTGAATGGAAAAATGAATGAGTGGATGGATGAGTGAATTGTTGGGTGAAGAGAGGAGTGGATAGAAGGGTGAGGTTTTGAATGGTGGGTGGATGAAGGGTGCTGGTAGGAGGCAGGGAATGTGAATGGCAGGCAGGCATGTGGTCATTGAGATGGCCATCACAGGCCACTAACAGTAAAGCCTGTCCCTTCTGTGTTTCTCTCCCTAGTGACCTCAGCAACAACAGCATCAGTATGCTGACCAACTACACCTTCAGTAACATGTCTCACCTCTCCACTCTGTGAGTATCTTGCCCACGAACCTGACGTACATGGCTTCCCTGGGTCTCATCAGGTCTGGATTCTCTGCTCTAGTGAAGCTTGGACTGGTAGCCGTCCCCTATAGGTTAGAGTTAGGGCTCTGCTGCCTGCCTGGGCAGCCTTGGAAGAAGGCTCTGTTTAGAATGTTGTCTCCTCCTAGGAAAGAAGGGGTGGGGTGCCTCCATGACTACATTTTGTTTAGACCCTTTATTGCCCATTAGCTTTGTCCAATGTAGGCAGTCACCATTGCACAGTCAAGGTGGGTAATGGAAAAGCTGGTAAGGAGCCAGCCTGCTGTGGAACGGCAGGGGAGTTGGGAAGATGCAACCAGTAAGTTTCCTGAAGGGTAGGAGATGCTGTCTTCCCTTTGCTCATAGGGTGCTTGTGCTGATGTGTGCCATGTAAATGCTGTAAATGGAGTAGCTGGGAATGGGAGCAGCCAGGGGCTCACTTGTCTCTTCTTCTACAGGATCCTGAGCTACAACCGGCTACGCTGCATCCCCATCCATGCCTTCAATGGGCTGCGGTCTCTCCGAGTGCTGTGAGTACTGCCCCCACCTCCTGCCATGACCTTAACCAGCCCTGGGGAGCAGCAGGAAGTTACCTAAGGCCCCTCCCACTTCCCCTTGCTTAGCTATGTGACAGCTAAGCCTGTCCACCCCTAACATATCTCCCCACCTTTGCTCCCTCAGAAAGAGCAGGCTGACCCCTAGCCACCTGTGGAACCGGAGCAAATGACTTCACCCTCTCCCTCACTTCAAGCCTTTTTCTGTGTCACATGAAATCAATAGCTTCCTCCATGGTGTGTTAGGACAGGCAATTATAGCCTGCCCTCGGGGAGTGAGCATGGTGTGTAGCACAAAGCAGCACCCTGATGATTCCCCTGTGCACCATTGTGCCCCCCTGACTTCAGAGAGGCGATGCAACACTGTAACAACTGTGTGACAGCTAAGCCTGTGTACCAGAGATCCCAGGATGGGACCCCAGGCAAGGCCCACTGCAGCTCTCCCACAGCGACAAGTTAACAATGATGCAAATGGCTCATGGTGTCTTTAAACATAATCGTAATAGGGTCTTAATCAACTACAAATATCAGAAGGTTTCAGAACTTAGGAAATACTAATTTGCACAGCCTCTTAGGAGCTAGAGATATGTGGTTGCACCAGGGTCTGCCTCTGCCATGCCGCACTGCTGAGCAGCCCTGCCCCTTTGGGCTGGGTTTTGCAGTCTACAACCTTCATACCTGCATGGTCCACGTGAGACAGATGAGCTCCACACAAAGGGTAGATGGCTGTGAGTTCCTCCTGCTTTAATTTTTTATCTTTTACTCTTTAATTTTTTAAATTTTTAGCATTTATGACAAAGGTGAGGGATTACAGGTCTATGTGGGCCTCTGATTACAGTTAGGATGGAGAGGGTGGGGAGATGAGCTAATGCTTCAGTTTTCCCTCCCGTATCCACGAGGAGGTGGTGGGGATAGAGGAAGGAAGTATGCCACTCCTCACTGTCACATTATATCAGTACACAGGGAGGAGAAGGTCCCTTTGAGTCCCAGATGTAGGGAAGAATATTCCAAGGATGTTTCTTGGTTGATTGTTCTGAGAGGTTGTTGGCTTTTTTTACACCAGCAGTGTGAGATTCTGTTGGCTGTCCTTGCCTACCTCAGTGTGCCCACAAACCTAGATGCCTGCTGTTGAGCCTGACCTGGCGTGTGGTTCTGAGGGTTCCACTCAAATTGTTTTGACAGTTCTGAGATGCTGTTGATATCACTGCTCTAAGGATGAGTAAATCCTTCCAAGGTCAATTGGCTGAAGTAGTCCACCTAGTCTCCATTTGCCCAAAAGTTTGCTGTCAGGTTTCAATGTGGTAGTTGATCAATTTGTTCTGTCCTTCTCCCTCTGCAAACCAATGCTGCTGCAGCCCAGCCCAACCCTACCCGCCGTACACTCAGCCCTCACATACACCAAGGAGAACTAAAGCCCAATCAGAGCAACCCGCAATAATCCCCGACTGGACTGGCCCCCAGCCCTTGTTCCTGTGCCTACTAGCATATGCAGTGGATTTATCCAGTCTGTCCCACATCCCGTTCAGCTCTCGTACACATCAGTAGGCATTGAAGCCTAACTCAGACCAGCTGACTCCACCCTCCAGCCTATATTTGTGCCAGTGGGTGCCACTGCCTGTCCAGCCAGGCCTGCTGCAAGTCCTGGTTCTTGTGCTCACCATGGGAGCTGCAGCCCATCAGAGAAGGGTCCACAGCCTCCTCACTGGATCCTTTCCATGCCCCAGATCTTGCACTCTCCAGGTAGCTCTGTAGTCTAACTCGCCAGGACTTCCCCAGTCCCAGCACTTGCCAGCCGATGCTGCAGCAAAGCCCAGCCTGCCTGCCCTTACTCTGGTTTCTAAGCCTGTACCAGTGGGTACAGTCGGTTAGCCCAGCCTGGCTATCCCCATAACCCAGTTATCATTGTAGATCATATGATAACTGGTGGTGTAGCCCTGCCCAGCCTGGTTTGCCCCTGGTCACAGTTCTCACACTTAATAGTAGGAGCAGTGACCCAGCAGGAAAGCTACTACTCCCCTACTGGAGTCTCACACCTACCCCTATCTTGCATGTGCTGGTGGGTGCTGCGGCCCAATCTGGCATGGCCTATTTTACCTTGGCATTTGCCGGCGGGTGCTGTAGCCTGGTCCAACTTGCTCTGCCCCTGTTCCAACTCACTCTGGTGGGTGCTGCTGCCCAACCAGAACATTCAGTACCCAGTTAGGGTCCAAGTGTGAACTGGCTGGTGATATAGCCAAACTCAGCCTGACCTGCACCCCATCCTGATTTTTAGGAAGTCTTTAGACCTTCTCCTGTGTGGCAGCTAGTGCAGGGTTTGGCTTACTCTGCCCGTTGCACCAGCCAATGCATGTATCAGTGGATGTAACTGCTTAGTGCATCCCGCCCCCAGCCCTGGCTCTCATATGAACCAGTGGATGCTGTATCCTAGCCCAGCTCAGCCTGCCTCCAGGCCCAACCCTCACGTGAATCAGCAGGTGCTGCAGCCTAGTCATGGCAACCCCAAGAAATCCTTACTTGGCCCACTCCCAGCCCTAGTTGCACATGCTGGAGGGTGCCACGGCCAGTCCACCCGCTCTCCCCAGGACTTGGCCCTCTCTTCATGGTATGCCTTTTCATCCATAAAATCAAATAATGGTGGCATTACCTTACCAAGTCTTAATGGGAATATAAAGCATTTAGCCCAGCTTCTGGCCCCTGTAATACTTGATATTCATTTCTTATTACTATTATCACATCATAGCATGCTGTATCATGAAAGCACCCCTTTGCTACCCCACAACTAGAGGCCCAGTTGTCATGCAATTTTTGTGCCTTCCCATCTTGTACCTATTTGATTGGCAAAAATAGCTCTTCTGATTGGTTCACTTGAATGTCTCCCATGTTTGATTCCCTGTGAGATCCGAGAAGCCAATGACCATGCCCCCAAACCTGTCGACATGTCCCCTCTCCGGCTTGTGATTGCCCTAACAGTCATCCTATTGGCACTTTTCATGGCAGCTCCTTTAGCTGACTCGTTTCCAGTAGTGCAGTGAGGTAGAGAAGCTGCCCATTTTAAAGACGAGGAAGCTGAGACCCAATGAGTGACATAACTGGCCAAGATGCAACAGTCAAGAGGTGAGTGTCCAGTCTGCTGACTCAGAGCCCCGGCACTGTTCCCAGGACTTGGTTATAGTCAGCACACAGCACCCAATGGCTCTGGGCCACCCCACTGGCTCTAGGCCACTGTGATTTATTGAGGCCCACAAAATACCAGTGTCAGCGACAACTCCCGCCACATGTCATCTGTGCTGTTATTAAAAATCAATTGTCTGGGGGGCAAAGAAGTGCCTGAGCTGACAGCGTGCAATCTGTTATTGTCACTTATTTATTATCTACCTTCTCCGGGGAGTTGGAGAATGGAAATATCAGCAGAGGCATTTCCCTGTCTCCAGTGAAACGCCACGGGACAGGGGCTTGGCTCCTTGGCCAGGGCTGAAACCAGGCCGGCTCCCCTTCAATCCCAATCTCTTGCCTCCCCTCCCAAGCTAGCAGCTCTGGGCAGGGGTTTGCACTTGAGTTAGGTGTGAGAGGGTAGAAGGTAGAACAAGGGTGGGCCTGGCCAATTTTCAGGGAATCTATTTGTGTGTATGTGTGTGTATTTGTAATTAAAGCAGTTCTGTCTAGAACAATTCAACATGCGAGAGAGAGGGAAAGGAAGTATTTGCCTGTCCTCTGGTCTGTTTAGCGAGGTTTGGGGATGGAGCAAACACCACCAGCCCGTCCAGAAATTTTGCTTCCTAGGTGTTAGTACTGTCACTCACGCGTTGACACACACATAACCAGACGACATAGTGAGCCTAGAGCCTTGCTTTAACAATGAGTGGATGTTTAGCATCATCTTTTTGTAAACGTAAGATTTCCTGGATGAAAAAGCGTCTAAGAACCCTTGAGCCCAACCATCTGCCTCAGTGAGGAGCCAACTGTTTTCCCAATAAGGACCAATTCGGGGACCATAACGTTTATGAGCTATATTTCTTTTATGGTATTTGTATCCTTTCTCCCATTAATTGCACGTGTAGGAATTTATGCTAAAGAATAACCCAAAAGCAGGGGTGAATTCTGTGCATGAAGATCTTTGCAGTCCTGTTATTTTCAACCTAATTTTAAATATGCCCTCCAAAGGCTGCAGTGGGGAAATATTTAAGGAAAGCATCAAGTCACAATTCAGTGAAGCGCAAGTGTTGACAGACGTAAAGGGGACCGTGGGATGGCGTCTGGCACACAGCATTTACAGGGAGAAACAAACCTAACTCATGCATATGTCACGTAAGAGTCTATCAATGTGTATGTGTAAAGAATGTGTGGGAACCAATGGAAACAATCAGTGGTAGCTAGCTCTTCATACAAAATCAAAAACCTCCCATCTGATAGATGAAGGCGAAGTTGAAGATGAGTAAAGCTGGTAAATACACGTTAGGGAATTAGGGGAAGAAGGGTCTTTGAGGGAAGTAAGAATTGCTGTTTTGTGCCACAGCATTTGTGCATTTGTATCCTCTTCCGCTGTTCCTGAAGGGCTTTGATTTTCTGATGATAGTTCCAGAAATGACCAGAGTTCCAAGGTTTGCTAGGGGTCAGGGGCAAGAAGAAGGATGAACACAAAGGCTCACAGGGGCCTGGAAAGCAGGGAGAGAGGACTGACACTACTGGGCCGTTCGGAGGGGGGTGGTGTTGGCTAGCAGACATGAATTCGTTTTGACAGGAGGGGGCTCAGGAACCCCTGAATATAAAACACTCGGGACAACAGCCGGCTCTATAGATTACGCACGTTAGAACATTCTCGTCCTTCCTCGGGGATCTGTGCTTTCCTTGATCCTTGGCCCACGTGGAGTCCATGCCTGGAGTGAGTGGCTCTTGTGTCCCTAACCCTGCCACAGGAGAGGCCCCTGGAACCATTGAGCAGGGGACGGGCAGTCTTCAGCAGCTACTGCTGAGGGAGCACGTATGATGGCCCTCTGTGGTTCCCACCACACACTCGGCTCCCAGTCCTTAAAGGATTGTGCTTGCGTCCTAGTTGCCTGTTCATCCTGGCTCTCCCAGCTGCACAACTTCTCCCTCTGGTCTCCCTGCAGAGGGTTCTGTCCTTTCGCTTGATTACCTCCAGAGACCAAGAGCGCCCTCCCTCCCCAAGCAACACCATTCCACACTTGTGAGAAAATTGTGGTGAAATGCAAGTGACTTATCAGGAACTCCAAAGTGTGCTCCAGGCTTAGCCTTTGAACTCTCCAACGTAAAAATAAATACATCCAAGTTGATCTGTAGAATTTGGAAAATGAAGAGGGTCTCACTTCTCAGCCTTTTGGCTAAGACCAAGTGAAAATGAAGAGGGTATATGAGACCTTCTCTTGTCCACACCTGCCACGTAGGACAAAGAAAGGAGTTCCAAAGGTTTAACGACTTGTTCAGCATCGTTCTCTCTCTCTGCCCTTCCTGAGTGCCTGTAGTCGGTTAGTGGGTGTGCTGAACTAGAGGGACATCAGCAAAAAATGAATGAGACACGATTGTTGCCCTCTGGGAGCTCTTGGTCTAGAAGGGTAGACAGACAAGTTAAGCAAGCAACCAGGATCCGAGGTGAGTGTTTCCTGGTTGCCACATCCACCCACTTTTCTGGCCTCGTTTAGAAACATGATTTAACATCCCATGTCCTTTGGGATCCAAACCATGAGCGAGCACCCACAGTGTGGGCGGATTTCTTTAAGATGCCCTGGTAAATTACAGCCTGTGACCCTGCAGTTTATAGAGATGGGAGTGAGCCTTGCAGGTGTCCCAGTGCCCATGCTGCTTTAGGGACACTTGTTTTTTTGTTTTTAATTAGGGCTTCATGCCTCCCTAGGGGCTCAACGCCTCAATCCTGCAATGGTTAGTATCGGGCATGGGTGTGCTTGCCAGCCAGCAAAGCAGCTATGGAGTCATCCAAGCAGGGGCCAGCTGCACAAATGAGAGGCTCGGTGATGCTGACAAGTGCTAGGAAAGGCCCCTGGCGCCTTCTTCCCTGGGAAGGTGAAAGGCCACCTGGGGAGCAGGTGCAGCAGTTCCTGCCATCCTAGCTGCGTGAGAACTGATGGTGACTCCAACGAGACCCACTTCACTCCACAACAGAGAGGGCCAGGATGGGTCTGTGGTGATGGGGCTGACAACTGTGAGGAGGAAGGGAGGCGGGATTGCTAAGAGAGAAGCAAAATGCCCGCTCTCACTTCAAAGCAGCAGGGGAAACCTATGTGTTCCTTGCAAGCCAGCAGCAGAAACACCCCTGTGAGCCTGTGAGAAATGCAGAGAATCAGGCCTGTCCCAGACTGTGGCAAGGGGGCCTAGGAATTTGCATGCTTACTTAACTCCACTGCTCACTCTGTGTGAGAGCCCCTGCCGATACGAAGTGTCATCAACCACGCATCTATAGTTTGGCCAAAGACCCAGAGCAGGTTAATTCTAGCTGCAGTGCAGACAGAAGAACAGACTCGTTAGGTATGCATCTGTCCATGCTCATCTTTGCACTGTGGATGCTCATGGGGTCCCACTGGGGCTCTCTGACCCTGCTAAGGTAAGTGGTCTTTACCTTTAGGCTGCTTCAGCTACAGCACAGGCGAGGATGCCTGGCGCTCACTTAAAGAAGCCTCGGAGAGCCTGACTTTGACCCACTTACACTTCAGTGGCCAGACACAAAGTCTGTCATTAGGTACACTCAGACCACACAAGGGCCGACTCCTGTGTCTGTGGCTGAGACCAGATGCTTTCCCAGTAACAAGAGACAGTTCCACCCAATCTCCTAAGTGGCTCTTTCTTGGACCCTTGAGCTAGGGTTAATGGCATTTCCCAAGGCACATGTTCTCCAAGACCCCTTCCCCCAGGTGGGCATTGGACCTGGCAGTTGAGATGCCTTGCTCCCGTATTGGAGTGCCTACAGTCTCAGCTGCACTCCCAATTCCAGCTTCTTACTAATGTGCTTCCTATAGGGCAGCAGGTGATGGTTCAAGTATTTGCGTCCCTGCCACTCGCACAGAAGACCTGGAATGAGCTCCAGCTCCCTGCTTTGGCCCGGCCAAGCCCTGCCCGTGAAGGCATTTGGCAGCATAAATCCAACTGCTCGCTCACTCTCCCCCACTGCTTCTTCCTCTCTCCCTCTCTCTTTCCCTTCTTTTTTTCACTCTCCCCCTCTCTCCCTCCTTCTCTACCTCTCTCGAATTAATTCATTAACAAATTTTAAAGAGCTTTTTGTAAGTGCTAGTAATGACCCATCATCATTTAGTATTTAGAAAAAGCCACGTTTTCACCACCCACAACAACTTGGTGTGGAGACTGTCACTTTCATTGTCATGTAGCCAAGGCACCGAGAGGCACCCTTTGCATGGTTACATAAGCGGCGGATGCAGGGTCTAAACGTGAGCAGCCAGGCTCTCGAACCATAAAGGACAGTATCTTGGAGCCAGGTGTGACACACCGGGTGCTCCTGTCTGCTGCATGCCCACCAGTGTCACTGGGAAGGTGGTGAAAGAGGCCCAAGTGCTCAGGATCCTCCCACCCCTGTGGGAATCCAGGCTGGAGTTCTGGCTCCCACAGCCATTTGGGGAGTGAACCATTGAGTGGGTGATAGCTTCCTCCTCCTGCCCCCACGTCTCCCTCTCTGTCACTCTGCTGTTCAAATCAGTACGTAAATAAACCTAAACACAGCATCTCAGCAGCCCCAGCGAGGCCACTAGGCGCATCAGTCTCTCCATATTTCAGATGGAAAGATCTGGAAGTGTTCCACAGCTGCAGGGGCCTGATAGCTGATTCCAACCTAAGTCTGTCAGATTTCAAAGTCCCCACTTCTCCTTCCCCAAACCCTCCCCTCCTCCGTGTCTGCTGCTGAGCCTGGAGGTGGGGGAATGGAAACATTCCCGCACCCCCAGCAGAGGGGATGGTGGCAGCTGCTCCCAGCAGTGCTGCTCTGTGTAAACAAAGGGAGACTTGGGCTGGGCTGGGCTGGGAGGCAGAGCGAGCGGGCTCAGAATTGCTGCTGTTGCTAACCTCCTGACCTGTCCCTTCTGCCTCAGAACCCTCCATGGCAACGACATTTCCAGCGTTCCCGAAGGTTCCTTCAATGACCTCACATCTCTTTCTCATCTGTAAGTAGCTAAATGCCTCCCCAGTGTGCATTCACTGCAAGCAGGAGACTGTGAGACCGCTGGTGACGAGGGCCATGAGTGTTGACATTTTAGTATGCATCCTTCCCATTTGCATCTAGAGGGTCCCTGCAATGTCCAAAGAGAATGACTGTAGGAGCCCCCTGGGTACCAGCTCCATACGTGCTCAAGCCCGATGGACAATGGGGTGGTATCTTCATATCCCCTATGCACATCTTCCCATGTACTTGTAATCATCTCTACAAGCTAACAGTCCCCAGTGCAAGGTCAATGCTAGGTAAAGAGTGGTTGCACTGAATTTTGCAGGGAGTCACCTCAAGGAGAAAAGTCTGGGCATGTTTAAAACAACTGCTGTTTTCTCTACTTGCAGCTGGTTGAATCAGTGGACACAAAAGCCATGGATAGTAAGGGTTAACAGTAGTACATCCACATTGTGATGCCTTCAGACGCCTCAACAGCTCAGCAAAACATGGAAATATTTGATTAAAAAAAAAAACCTCGCAGAAAATACCTGCTATGTGCTGAACACTTTATATGAATAATTTTGCTTGTTTCTTCTGCTAGTGAAATACTTCTTTGCCTTTCTATACAAGGAAACTGGAACTTAACAAGGTAAAGGCTTTGCATACGGGTGGCACAGCCAGTGGTGGAGCCATGGTTCCTGTCAAGGTTTGCCTGCTCTCCAAAGCACATGGAACCACCAAACCACACTGCCTTATGCATCAGGTGTTCCACAAGGGAAACTGAGGCACAGAAATTCTAGGCCTAGCTGCAAGTCACACTATCAAGAGTATTCAACTAGAACCCAAGTTGTCAAACTTCTAGGCAAGACCTGTGCCCCCTACCTCACAGATCTCTCACGTTCCTTATTATTATTATTTATCAGTGAGAGATTTCTGGCTTGTTTTCCTTCTCTCTGCATATCTGTTTTCATATTATATGCATATACCACAGTGCTGACATGTTGACATATAATATTCAAAAATAGAAATTGTAAAGGATATGCTTTAAGCAGACCAGAAAGAGGTAAAGGTCCTGGTGCTTTCTGCGTGGACATCACCGCAGTGATGTGGATCTCCGCAGTGAATGGTGCCTGACTCAGTGGTCTGCATCTGTTTCCAAAGTCTTCGAAGGGCATAGGAGCCAGAGAACCAGAAAGCCAGAGGTTCAGGCAGGTGAGGTCTGAATTGTTCCAGGGCAGAAGGTGCAGAAGCTCAGAGGTGAGAAAGTGCTTGATTGGGACTGGAAGTACATTTTGGTGAAAGTGACATTGCCCCAACAGACTGTCTGTGCCGTTCTCCATATCAAACATGCCCAAACTAGCCAAAGCCTGAGGATCCTGCTTCTCCAAGGAGCCCAGAATATGGAGTCCCAACTTGCTGTTCTTCCTCCTAGGGCACTGGGCACCAACCCCCTGCACTGTGACTGTAGTCTGCGGTGGCTGTCCGAGTGGGTGAAGGCGGGGTACAAGGAGCCGGGCATCGCCCGCTGCAGTAGCCCTGAGCCCATGGCAGACCGGCTCCTACTCACCACCCCCACCCACCGATTCCAGTGCAAAGGTAGGTACTGCCACAGTCACCCACCGTCCTCCTTGCCCCTGTGGCTTCTTTTCTGTCATGGCAGCCTACAAAGTTGGGCATCTCAGTCGCCATGACATCCGATGGGTCACAGAGGGACTCAGATATTGAAATAGATGGGTCCTGTGATGCCATTTCTATACACAGTCGTCATTCAGTGTCCTTGCAGGATTCTAGATTACCCATGGATACCAAAATCTGCAGAAACTCAGGTCTTTGCTATAAGATAGCCTTTCCATCTAACCCAGACTCACCCCTCCCATTTCACCAGATTACTTCTAAAATCTAATGCAATGTAAATGCTATGCAAATGCCTGCTACACTATTTTGATTAGGAAATGATGATAAGAATGTTGGTGTGTGGTTATTAAGGAGGCAGGGTTTTTTTTTTTTTTTCAAATGTTTGCAATCCGCAATCGGTTCAATCCACGGCTGTGGGACCTGCAAGTAGAGAACCAGTTCCATGTCCTTGCTGGCTTCTTTTCATATGTATTTTTCCAGAGCTGACCAAAAAAAAAAGATCTTTAACCCACAGTTTCCATCTGGCATATAAGCACGTATGTATTTTCCAGTTTTACCACCATAATCTTTTTGAGCCTTACTGACTAAATCGTTATGATAAACATAAGCTGTCACTGAGATAGTTTTATGTGGCAGGCACTATGCTATGCACTTTTGTATATATTCTTTTCTCACTTCCCTGGATCAAATTTTAAAAATTTCCAGCATCTCCATGGAGCAGATTTTAATATTCCCCTCATTTTTGAGAATGAGAACACTGAAGCTTAGCGAGGCTCAATGACTTCTCAAGTTCATGCAATAGAGTTTCAGGGCTCCCTAACTCCAGGGTGCATGCCCTTGACTGCCAATATCCTACCACAACTTATTGAACCAGTTTCCAATTTTAAATCTTTAGGGTATTTCCAGTTTTGTTTTTTCTGTTTTTTCTTAGCAAAACCCTAAGGTCTTTCTCTATTTGAAATCATGCCCTCAAATAAGCTGCAGAGAACAGAAATTCTTGAGATAAAGTGTAGGATTATTTTTTAAGATCTTCACACATATTCCCAGATTAATTTCCAAAAGGGTTTTTACCAATTTTTCTATTATCTTATTTAGTAGTTATGGCTAAGTCAATGGGTTATAAAAGGAAAGTGTGTCCTTTTATCTTTCATCTTTAAAAATGGGAAATCTGAATTTGGGGGCCAAAATCTACTTTCGATTTGTATTTGGCTGTTAATAGCGTTTGTTCATATCTTAGAGCCTTACTATTTTTTCCTAACAGATAAACTTGAATCACCTTCTAAGGTATCTGATCTGACACTTAAGAGGCCTGACTAGCCCTACAGCAGTAACATTCTTGGTGGCTCATTTGGGAATCCAGAGCTTTAAAAATGATTGGTATCCAAGTTTGACCCTCTGGGTTTTGATGGTTGTGACCCAGGCATGAGCATTTTTAAAGCAGTGATGTTACCTCCAGTGTCAGGTGACCAAGCTATCCCAGTTCATCCAAGATCTTTTTAAAAGATCTCCATGTCTCGAGAGCCTTCGCAGTCCCAGGTAAAAGGTGACAGGTGGTTTTTTTTCAGGCTATTCTGTTCAGTGCCAGAGAAGTGGTCACTCACTTGGAGTTGGTCTCTACCCAGCTGCACGCACATGACTGCCAGCCCTGCTGAGCGAAGCCTGTGCATGCGGGACTCATGATCCACCCTGGCTGCTCCAGCAGACACAAACACCTGGTAGAGAGGTGTGAGGGGACCACGACCCCCTCCAGCCCACGGCTGAAGGAAGCAGGACAGAGTTGAGGCTGTGCTGCACACAGCGTGGCACCCGTCACCAACATCACTGCTGTGCCTTCTGGAGTTGTGCAGTTCTCACTTCCAGGGTTTAACAGGGAGGGTTTTCTGCCTGAGCCAAAGGCCTTAGCTTGGCACAGGCTTCCCTGGGGAGGGGAGTCTTTGAGGCCAGAGAAATGGAAAGTTCATAGAGAACCAGAGCCCAGAGTTTCCGGAGAGTATGAAAGGATGCCTCAGGGGTTTCTAATTACAATGCATTGTTTGCAGATTAGCGCCCAAATCGGATCAGACTAATTACAGTAATTGATTTGACTGCAGAAGTGCTCCTGAATTATGTCCCAGTGTGATTTTTTTTCCTCACTGGACAATGGCTGAGTTAATGGGACTACAGAGGCCTTCTGGCTCTGTAGATGGGGGAGGAGCTGGCAGCTGGCTTGAAGAAGGGGCCAGAGCCAGCCCAAGGGAAGGGCGGCGGGATGGTGAGCCCACTGGGGGACATGCTGCCAACATGCTATGGTTTTGCTGCCCAGGGCCAGTAGACATCAACATTATGGCCAAGTGCAACGCCTGCCTCTCCAGTCCATGCAAGAACAATGGAACATGCAGCCCAGATTCCGTGGAGCTGTACCGCTGCACCTGCCCCTACAGCTACAAGGTATGGCAAGAGCCTTCTTTGCTTACCCTCCTACCCACCCTGCTGTTCCTTCACAAGCTAAGGGTGACTGACCCTCCTTTCTCCGGGGTAGCCTCACTGTACATGTCCCCTAGCAAAAAAAACACATTCACCAGTAGCACTCCTGTTGTAAGAGCCTGACCCATCACAGTGAATCCCATTGCCACGGGGTTGAGACATAACAGTAGTGGTTGGGACAAAGAGGCAGCAGAACTTTTTTTTTCTTTAGGAAATGTATTTTCTTTGTGAAAGCCAGGGATGTTAAGTCTCAGAGAGGTAAAGCACTTCTGGGAGGAGATACCCAATAAACTCCTTGTCCTAACAATGCTTGCAAGATTTTTAGAACCAACCCCTGCCCTCCGAAGCGCCAGTAGGCTAATGAGCACACAGTGATTAGCAACTAGAAAGCCTGGGGGCTATCATACCCCCACACTGCTGACAGTGTTAGGGTGATAAGGGGATCAAGAACCCCTCCTCCTGTACCCAGCACAGTAACCTAGCAGCTGAAGTCCTTGCCTTTCATGCTCTGGGATCTCATATGGGCACCAGTTTGTATCCCAGCAGCCACACTTCCCATCCGACTCCCTGCTTGTGGCCAGGTAAACTAGTCGAGGATGGCCCAAAGCCTTGGGACCCTGTACCTGTGTGGGAGACTCAGAAGAGGCTTCAGGCTCTGGGCTCCTGGCTTCAGATTGGCTCAGCTCCAGCTGTTGTGGCTGCTTGGGGAGTGAATCAATGGATGGAAGATATTCCTCTTTGTCTCTCCTCTCTGTATATCTGACTTTCCAATAAAAAAAATTATAAAATAAATCCTAAAAAAAAAAGATTCCTTCCTCCCACTTCCTGCCCCAGAAATCCAAGCTAATTCCAAGGTACTCCTTCCCTCCCCTCTTCTAACCCAGGACCATCTAGACTAGGTCAGCCTAGCTCTCCACTGACACCTTAGGGTATGGGTCATGTGCCAAGTACTCTGCATGACATGTGCTGCCCTTTTCTTTTGAGTTTTATTATTTTAAAAAGGTTTGTTTTTATTTATTTGAAAGGCAGAGCTAAAGTGAGAGAAAGAACGATAGAAATCATTGATCTACTGGTTCACTCCCCAAATGGCCACATTGACCGCAGCTGATCTGGTGTGAAGTTTGCCACCGGGAGCTTTCCAGATCTCTCATATGGGTGCAGGGTCCCAAGAACTTGGTCCATCCCCCACTGTTTTCCCAGGCCATTAGCAGGGAGCTGGATCAGAAGTGGAACAGCCATGACTTGAACCGGTACCCACATAGGGATGCCAGCGCTGTAGGTTTACTTGTTACGCCACAGTGGCAGTACAGCACTAGCCTCCTTTGCTTTTTCTTTTTAAACATTTTCAGTAAGTGCAGGAAGAAGGGCTGAATCAAAGGGTTGGGATTAAGTTCCAGGGCTGTTGGATTGCATTAACCTGGAGGATTTCCAGGGCATTAGCCCTTTCTTGAGCCTCACTGGCACTAACAAAGCTGTGGCTGCAATCTCTTCCACTTCCCCGACTCCAACCTCCCCAGGGACTTCGAAGGAGCCTCGTAATCTGTTGTGTACACCTGGGACGAGCTAGGTGAGAGGGAACTGGCATGTGCAGGTACCCATCCCCAGGGGGATTGAACCTGTATGGTGACAAGCCTGAGAGCTGACTTGCTGTGAGGAATGAGGCTGTGAGGTGGCTTTCTGGACTGTGGCCGCACCTGTCACTGATGGTGTCAGAGTGCCACCTATGGGCCCTGGACTGCAGAGCTTGGGGATTCCTTGGAAAATGAGCCACCCCAGCCTCATCCCTGAGTCCCACGCAGGCAGGCAGGCAGGCAGGCACGCACACCACCCATGCCCCTGTACACACAAGCGTAATTATGAATAGGGAGGAAGGAGGAACTGAGGTTCCTTGCAGGCATGCCCAGGAGATGGAGCTCCTCTCTGGCATGGGTTAAGTGAATAAAACTCAGGCCATGGAATCACACAGGACAGAAGATGTGGTTTCAGCTTTGTCACACACTAGCCAGTGACTTCAGGGCAGCCCCTCCACCTGCCTGACAGGTTTGCCGTGAGAAGCAGATGGGCAGTGATGTATGCAGTAGACCTAGGGTGATACCTGGCATTGGGTGGGCACCAAAAAAGCTGGGCTGTTGCTCTCTTTTCTTTTCGCTGTTGTCGGTTGCTCGCTCATCCCATGGTGTGCAATAGGCCCTCGGCGGCAGGCAGCACATCGCTGCTCACAGCAGGGAGTATTAGGCTGTGACAAGTGACTGACCAAGGACCTTCAGTCCATCTCTTAGAACTGTGACATGTGCATTGACTTACCACATCCGCGGTTCCATACGTGTATGTTTTTACCCATCAGCCAAGGGCCCAAAATTCAGCTGGACATTGTGCATTTTTTTTCCATTCTTCCATTTTTATCATCACCTTATCAGGGGAGTGGTACCATTCCCATATTTAAAGGACAGAAATCTGTTTCACATGCTGAGTCTCACATCTTTCTCTTTAAAACCAGCCTGAGTCTGAAAGTCCTAGAACTAGATCTCAAGTTTAGATTTCTTCCATTTGCACTATTAAATGCGACCAGGCAATTAATGTCAGGGCCGAGGGTGTAGCCACAGGGTGTATGGCAGGATACTGTCACATGTCTAGATTTTGTTAATGAGATTCTAAACATATAGATGTCAGGGGAGTTTGAACAGGTTTTTTGATGGGCTCAGGCGTGTTGGGATATGTAGTGATGGTGATGGCGATGATAATAATGATGATGGTGATAGTGATGGTAATGGCCATGTTGATGGTGATGGAACTGATATTAATGATGATGATAAAGTTGGTACTGTACTAATGATGATAACCATGACATTAGGAAGAGCAGCCAGCACTTACTGAGTCCCCTCTGTGTACAACGGTGCATTCAAGGGAAAAAGTGTATGCAATAACTTGTATAACGCACATCAAGCCCTAGGATACAGTTCCATTTTAGACTCTAACTGTACAGTTGAAGAAACTGAGCGTAGTAGATGAGAGAGTGTAGATGCAACGCTGGAGGGCCCCTGCCAGAGCCTGCCATGTTCAGTGATGGTGATGAGTTCAGTGAGCCCAGCATTCGAGGGTGAGGGCCCTGCCTGGCAACACCAATGTGACTCTCCAGGCTGGGGACAAGTAGCACAAGGCAGTGAGAACACCCAGCAGGACCCTCTGTAGCCTGCTCCTACCCGACTGCAGGACCCTGGGCGGCACCCCCGAGCTGCTTCTCTGCTTCCTCCACTGCCAGATGAGGTGGCCTAAGCCAAAGGGCTCCTTGAACTAGGCGGGGCCTAGCTCTCCTTTTGGCTGGAATCAGAGCACACACATGCACAGCAACTGAGCAGTAATTCTAGATACTTTACTCAATTGACATTAATCTCCATACCCAAAAAGCCAAGCTCAAAGCTGAGGCATTTCTCTATTCAGTTTTGCCATCAATGAGCTGGGTGACCTTCGGAAACCATAATATTGCTAAAAAGCGTTATCAGCCTTTATCAGTTTGAGAACAGATACTGTCAACCTGTTAAGCTATAACTCCAGGCCTTGGTAATGCAATTGATGTATTATCTCATGTAGGACTATTTTTGATTGATGTGCTCATTGGGGTTAAAAGGGAGAGCAATAGAGGGAGATGCAGAGAGAGAGAGAGAGATGGATCTGTTTTCTGGTTCACTTTCCAAATGGCCGAACAGCCAGGTCTGGGCCAGGCTGAAGCCTGGAACTCCGGCCAAGTCTCTACATGGGTGTCAGGAGCCCAATTACTTCACCCCTATGCTGCCTTCCCTGGTGCATTATCAAGGAGCCAGGTTCAAAACAGAGCAGCCTGACCAGAACTGGCACTGTGAACTTCAACTGCTGTGCCATAATGTTAGCCCCTCACATAGTACTGGTGATTATCCTATGAAGTAAATGTCTTTTACCTTCTTTTTAATAGATGAAAACCAACAAAGGTTGAGGCAGCACATGAGCTAAAGAGCAGAACCCAACTCCTCCTGCGAGAGCGTCTGCACCTTCACCATTGTGACTGACCAGTGCTTGCCTTGGTGCCTCCTTTTCTTTCCTGTAAATGGCCATCCTCAGTGGCAGAGAAGTTGTTAGGATAAAAGGGCATCATGTGTGTGATTGGCCTGCCTCAGTGCCTGGATCCAGTGGGCACTTCACAAAATATTTTTGCCACTATTTTAAGATTTCCAGTTCTGTTGGGTGATTCTTGTTCCGTCCTTGGCATCTTGCACGTGTTCACTGTCTCAGCGTGGTGCTCTTCACACTTGAGTGTGCACGAGCATCCCTGGAGAGCTTAAGCAAATGCAGGTTCTGATTCATTAGCTCTAAGGTTAGGCCTGAGGCTCTGCGTGTTTCACTAGTTCCCAGGCAATGCCAATGCTACAGGTACCAAGGACCATACCTGGAGTAGCAAATATTTAAAGCAACCCTCTCACTCTGTCTCATAAAGAGATTTGCAATGACAGGAGCTATGCCAATTTCTTCTAAAGGGGACCAGGATTGTCAACCATGTTCGTTCGCCTCTCTTTCTCTCTCTCTCTCTCATATAAACACATGAAATGGAGTATGGAACACAAAGGAGGAGGCGGGCCAAGGGGCATCACAGAGCTGGTAGATTTGAGCAAAGTTAAGACCGCAAAGAATTAAATCAGGCTAATTAACCAGGCATTGGCAATGGTGGCTTTTTTCAAGGACATACAAGTGACAGAAATCCCCACCTCCAAGTCTAATTACCATGCCACCAGCCACTAGGATCTGCCTCCTGGATTTCTGTGTTCTTCATTAAGGACTGGAGGGAACGCCACCTCCTCCACCCTGGGGAATGGAGTCCCCTGGAATTTCTGATGCCAGCAAATTCCCCAGAGCTGAGAATCTGGCCCTGACCTTCTCCTGTCTTGCGCTTCATGGTCCATCTCCCTACGTGAAAGTGTGTGTAACACCCACGCTCATCCCTGCTCAGACCTCAGTTACTGTCACTCTCAGTAACTGGGTTGCTGTTGCTGGCCAGCACAATATGCCTCTGTATTCTCTAATCACTTGTTAGCTCCCCATCGGATAGATTACAGGCTGGGTGTACCTGATCTGAAAGCTTAGGATTGGAAGCATTTCTGAATCTTAGAATGTTTTAGATTTTTCACTAATTGGGACTGGAACCCAAAGCTCTGTATGTTTCATGCACCCCTGTACACATAGCCTGATGGTGTTTTTACATGGTGCTCTGAGTACGCTTGTTTCAGCTGTGGCCCAGCATGTGAGGTCAGGGCTGGAGCTTTTCCATGTACCATCACTCTGGCCCTCACAAGGCTTCTGATTTTTTAAGTGGTCTACTTGGACAGATGAAGGATGCTCAGCCTGTATTCTTATTCCTATTTCACGGATGATGGAAACAAGGCTCAGAGCTAGTCATTTCCTCAAGGCACAGAGCAGCCACAGCAGGGCAGTTCACAGCACACTCCAGCCTGTCTCCCTACAGCACCTGTGCAAAGGGCAGACCACAGTACAGGAGGAGGGCCCCTGGCGCTGGCTTTGGACATGGAAGTCTGGGCTTGGCTGCTTATGGCCTGTTCCACTCACTGCTGTGCATTCTTGAACCTGCCTCATTTCCAAGTCTGTCTTCCCTGTCTATAACAACAGTCACAACAGCTTTGTAGGGTGGGTGTGCACAGTATACGCCACCATGAATATGAAATCCTTAGCATGAGTCCTGGACTGCAAAGCATGCTCAGTAACAGCAGTGAGAATTAAAATCAATTTCCACTCCACATACTGGCTTCTGGAAGGGGGCTCAGTGTTGCTCTGGTTTAAGATAAGTCCAGATACCATCCCAAATCACAGTGCTCCTATGCCCTCTGAGAAATACCCAGGTCACCCCTTAACTGTGACGGGGCAGGAGCCTGCATTGCAAATTAGGCAGACTTGGCCTGTGTGTCCTGGCTGCTGGAGACAGGGCCTGAGGCTCTGGCATTGAGAGAGGAGGAAGAAGCATTCCAGAGAATCCGCAGTCAAGGCTGTCCTAGGCCCAAAGCCAAGGTGCCCAGTCGGCAGTGACATTAGAGCCAGGAAACCACAGTCCCTTTTCATTCCAGCACTGGAAACAGTGGCAGAAAAAGGAAGAGGATTTTCTGAGGCAGATGGCAGACAGGTGGTGGTGGCAGTGGGAGAACTCCATAATCTCCCTCCCTGGCATGAGCCCTGGCCACTGAACCTGAGGCTCAGAGACAGATGCAGCAGACACCTTCCCAGGTTCTGTACTAGCAGACCCTGCAAGGGACTGTTATCTAAGATGCAGGCACAGCCTTAGCCTCTCACTCTGAGGGGAAGAGCAGGGATGAGAGCAAGAAGAGCTGGGCTGCTCCTGGGAACAGTGGCTCTTAACATCCACCTCACTGCCCTGGGACAGCCCTCTTCAGGGTCCTTGCCTTTGGTGTCCCTTCTGCCTGCCCCACTCCTTCCACTCTTTTTAGGTGAAACATTTTATTTAGAGCACCCCCCAAAACTCTGTGTTGCAGGAGTTCCCCTTCTGGCCCAATGGAATTCATCTGCTGAACTTGAGAATAAGTACCTGGGTCTGGAGTCTTCTTTAGACCAATAGCTTGAGTCCCTGGGGATTGTCTTGTGACAATCTGTTGGCCATGCTCCAGCCATTGCTCATACTGTTCCAGTTGTGCATTTCATTTAAGCCTCAGTGGGACTCATAGTAAAAGCATCTACTAGCGTTGATGGAATGTCATGTGTGTGTGACATATTGTAACGTTTTCTCTTAGGAAAGCTCTGCTTTAATTCTCATAACACCTAGAGAGAGAGGTTGGGAGAGATGAAGAGGTATGTGCAGGGATGTATAGTAGCTGTGTAATTGAGACTATCCATATCCAGATGTGAGGGTACAATGCAGTATGCATCTCTACTTCCAGATCAAAGATGGACTCCCAATGAAACTGTTCAATATATCTTGACAATAGGATGCTGGACTCTCTGCCATTGTCCATGCCCACAATGATGGACATATGACTGCTTATGAAGAACTATGCTACTGTACTAATATGGGGAAATCAGTGTGAGGGGAGGGGATTTGGGGAGGAGGCAATGGAACTCCCAGAGTCTATACAACTGTAACAAAAAGTCATAGTAATAATAATAAAATGGGGGTGGAGGGAGCGGAGAAAGGAGGTATGTGCAAGGTCAAGGCAGCCTTACAAGCAGTAGAGCTGGATGGGAAACCCAAAGCCCACACTCATGCCCTGCAGTGTGGGACAATGTGGAAAACAGTAAGGCAAGCATGTGAAGCTGCACTCCCCAGTTCCTGGCCTTCTTCCCCTCCTCACTGCCGAGGGGCCAGACATGATCCCTCCCTGCAACATGCTCTGAGCTCTCAGCCCCTCTTGTCCCAAGACCTGCTTATGTGCTCTACCCCAGAGGATTCTGGGAGCTGCCAGGGCCTCCCAGGTGAGGGCAGCCGGGAACATAGGCCTCCCTTACCAGTCGCCTCTCCCTCTTCTGTTCCTCAGGGCAAAGACTGCACCGTGCCCATCAACACCTGCATCCAGAGCCCCTGTCTGCACGGAGGCACCTGCCACCTGAGTGAGAGCCACAAGGATGGATTCAGGTACAAGCACACCCAGGGCCTTCCCTCACCACATAGGACTTTACGGTCAGACCTCCCAGGGGAACAAGGGAAGCAGAGCTGGTGCCCTTGATGTGTGGTTGCACAGCTGCCACCCTGTGAGGGAAGTACTGGGGTCTCTGCCATACACATAAAGATATGGGGGCATCTGGGGCAAGCCCTTGGTCTACAGTCACATGCTTACTGAGTGTTAGTATTAGGACTTCAATCTAAGAACCTTCTGTCTGCGGGATGATGCCAGTGGTGGATGAAGTCAGAGGAGAGAACGCTGACTCCAAGACTGGCATGCCTGGCAATCACACTGTTCTTTTCTGTGTTCTAAACACAGCTTGGGCATCCCTGATCAGAAATCAAAAATGCACCCACGTGACACCACAAGTGGGAAATTTCACACTGAATTCCATGGGATGGGTGACACATATAGGTAGGTACAACAAAAATATTATATAGAAATACTTTCAGACTGTGTGTCTCAGATTTATAAAACATAAATGTTTACACATGGATCCCATCTCCAAGATAGTGTATTATTTATTTATTCATATATATTATATATATGAATAACTATGAGTATATATATACATGTGTATGTATGTGGATATATATATGATACATATCATATATATATAATATGTATATCCAAAAAAATTCCAAAATCTGAAGAAAAATCCAAATCTGAATCACTTCCAGCCTCAAGCATTTTGTTTCAGGGATGCTCAACCTGTAATAATAGAACAGGTAGCATTGTTTGCTGCCAGGCACTGAACATGCGCGCTCTCAGTGGGATCTTCACAAAGCCCTGTCTCGTGGGAAGCTGGCAGCCCCTTGGGACAGACGGAGAAAGCAAGCAAGGCACAGAAATAGCTCTGCTGCAGCTCCCGTAGCTGCCACTGCTTCGTGAATCTTGCAGCCCCATGTGCAGTCAGTCCTCTTTCGTCTCTGGCATTTGGATCCGAGGAACAAAAAGGTTTCGAATGTTATTCTTAGGTTTGTCTCATCTCTCTTGTGAGCTACCATGTGCCAAAACCTCAGGACCCCTTCCTGCTTCTCGCTTTTCTAGCGGCTCTCAGATACTCAGTCTCCACAGCCTGGGGCCCCAGCCAAACCCGCCTGCTGGGAAACCAAGTCCTTCACTCCCACAGAGAGCCAGTGGGTTAGCCGCCAGGGCCCCTTAGGAAAGGTGGGGCATACAAGACCAAGCTCAGATTGCAAACAATTAACTATAAAAGCACTTTGGCAGGAGGTTGCTGTGTGGTCCATGGGAGAAGTCAGGCTCTGAGCTCCTAGTTCTCCCCATCTCAGGGAACCTAGTCTGTCCACCTGCCAAGCCAACCTTATCAAACTCACACTCTTGGAGAGCAAAATTCAAGACAGAATTCGTGGTCCTGCCTGTATCAGCCAAACCACCAGTCCCACCCGCTCACTCAGAGCAGGAGACGATAAAAACCACAGAAATCTCACAGAGGTGGCCACACAACCCCGAGCCTCTAGGGAACCCCTTCAAGGCTTGCTGCCTGGCTCTGGGCCACCAGGGTGGGAGAGAGGTGACCCCACTCTGGGCGACTGTGTTTTTCCCATTTCCTCCGGCAGTGCCATGAGCAGAAGCCTTCCGTCTCCATCTTCCATCGTCCTGCGAGTGTTTCCAGTTGAGCTGGGAGTATTGGGGGAGTTTGGAAGGAAAAAGGCACAGATCTACAACAGCAGGGGGAGCCAGGAATTAGAAGGTTAAGGTGACAGGTGGATCCTCTGCATGGCACAGCCTGCTCCCTTCCCAGAGAGCAGGGAAGCCGGCATCACCTCCTGCAGAGGGCAGGGGTGCTTGTCAGGAGAGCCAGCTCTGCCCCTACTCCCCACCCCCCCACCCCCACTCCTACCTCTCATCCCCAGCCTCCAGAGTCATTTTCTAGAGCCCCCACCACTCTGAAGGCCGGAAGTTCAAGATCACGGTGTCAGCAGGGCCAGCTTCCTCCAAGCCTATAGAGAAGGCCCCCTCCTTGCCCCTTGCCTGGCTGCTAGGGACTCACTGGGGACCTTGGATGCTCCTTAGCTTGTGGCAGCAGTGTCCTAGCCTTCCTCATTTCAGGTCTTCGCCATGCCTCTGTCCCCACCTGCCTATTGTCTTGGACGCACACCTGTCACATTGGATTAGCTATCCTTCTTCCAGTGTGACTTAATGGAATAACACCTGTGCCGTGACCCTGCTTCTGAATGAGGTCACATTTGAGGCCTGAGGAACAAGGACTTTGACAGTTCTGGAGGGGAGGAAGGGATCTGATTCAGTCCCTCTTACCTCCTTAGGTTCAGTGTTCTGCAAGCATCACTCGTGTGTTCAGGCCAGGGCTTCCTGCATGGCAAAGAAAGAAAAAACTCCACACAGAAGAGCCAGGGTGAGCCTAACTCACCCTGCATCCCCACAGCTAACTAACTGGCCTTGGGGCCTCCTTGGCAACCCCTCTGAGGTTTCCAGTGAGAGCAGGAAGGTCTGAAGGTGCCCCTGCATCCCCTGTTGCCTCCATCAGCTACTCCTGCCTACCAGTGTCCCCCCTCCCCCGCCGTACATCACAACTGCCTCTCCAGAAACAACCTTTTACATGAACATGCAGGCACCCTAACAGAGAACAGCAAGGAAGAGGCATTTTGCCGTACTGCCTCTGCGCACAGATGCGGGCAGTCGCTGGCCTTTTGAGAAAATGGGGGAAAGCTTTTCAGGCAGTCCAGGAAAGGGAGTTGGATCGGATTCTGGAGCTACACAAATCTACCTGCTCTTGGTTTAGAACCCCACTGAGAGCAGCGTGTGAAAGCAGAGTCCTGGAATTCCACAACAAAAGCTCCAGCACACACTGACAATGGGGCACAAATCCCTAAAAGTAGAAGTGGCCAGTTTTCCACTGCCACACTTAGTTAATCAGACTCCAGCTTCCCACCCACCCCCGGGCACCCTACGGCCCTCATACCTTCTGGACTACCCAGCCTCTATCTGCTCTGACTCATTCTGCATACCTAATCCTGGGTCATGACCAAGATCAAGGGGAGCCAAGGTTTTTGTACAGGAGATTTAACCCTCTAAAGACCCACGCATGTGCTGAACCCTTCTGAGGTCCTTGATCTGGCCAGAAGCGGGGTTCTCCCACCCCATCCCCTCTTCCCCAAGAAGCTGCTGGGTCTCCAAGCTGTAGGATTGTGCTCAGCAGAACTGACACCCCTGCGCTGAGGTGAGGGAGTTGGGCGTTTCTCTCTAGCACTGAAGCTGACCCATGCGCTCTGTGCATTCTCTCTGGGCCCTGGCACCAGCACTGTGTCACCTCATTAACATCTGCCCAAGGTCAAACAGCTGGGAGGTGGCACACCAGAGCGTATTCCCAGGAAACCTGGTCACAGAGCCTGTGACCTTGACCATGAGGTTCTGCTCACTCTTTCCCCCAGGATAGGAAGAAAGGCTTCCTTTGAACGAAAATCCTCCCCAAAAGCAGGTGAACGTGAATCTGCTGTCACTGTCTGCCAGAGGGTATGCCAAGGGGGCTGGGGGCCGTGTGAAAAACAGCTGCTGGAATTGACGCCATGTCAAGGCATGCACTTCTAGCTGGGGGACAGCAAGGCAGACATTGCAAGGGAGTGAGGCAGCCAGCAAGGGCCAGCAGACAGAGCATTTGGAGCAAGAGGGGCAGGATGCAACACCCTCGGAGGCTCCTAAGGCTCTTTCTGCTCAGGACCCCACGGCCTCCTGTGTCCCTGCCTCTCACACATTCATCTGCAGGGGAAATCCAACTAATTGTATTTCCCACCTTCTCTTCCTGTCTGCCCACCCCTGACCCCTGTCTCGCCCCCTCCTCACCCAACACACCCCCAAAGCTGTTCCTGTCCCATGGGCTTTGAGGGGCAACGGTGTGAGATCAACCCAGATGACTGCGAGGACAATGACTGTGAAAACAACGCCACCTGTGTGGATGGCATCAACAACTACGTGTGTGTCTGCCCCCCTAACTACACAGGTGAGGCTCTTGCATGTGTGTGTGTGTGTGTGTGTGTGTGTGAAGAGTATCACTAGAAAATACCAACTTGATGACTTGTAATGGGAAGCTCACGTCCTTCTCCCCATGGACAGAGACCAAGGCTCAAAACCTTACAGTGTGCCTTCGGCGTCTTCCCAAGGGCCCTGTTGGCTTGCCCATCTCTTCTACCACCAACTCGCCCCTCCCTGCCAAGCACTAGCCCCTTCCCACTTTGAAGCAGGCTCCCAGAGCTCTTCCAGTTGTGTGCCTACCCAGTGAAAGTAGAGTTGTATTAAGCAATAGGGAGTCCTAACTGTGTACCTTTGTAAATATGTCATGCCCTGAATTAGCCACTAGAGGAAACCAGGGGGTCTCAGCCACCACCTGAGTTCTCTGGTCTCCTATAACAGAGGATTCACTGTAAATAGCTCAGTCATTGGCCCAGGAGAATCCCAGCAGGGAGGGAGTGATCAGTGGGACTCAGAGCAGGTTTTGTAAGTGAGAAGGGGCTTGAGCCCCATTCACAGCAGGGGAGTGAGCAATGGGAGGAGAGAGGTGATCTCCTGCATGGTTCAGCAGTGACCAGTCTGACGGCTGATTTGCAACATGTTCCTGACAGTGGGGTGTTGTGGTTTTCCCCATCTCAGGGGACCTTGCCTGTTTCTCTGTGTCTCCCTAGTAACAGAAGAGGTTTGAAAGGAACACCATGCCCCCTGTATCTTGAGCTGCTGAGAGCAAAATGTGAAGAGCAGGGGGCTGAGGGCTGGTTCCTGGTTGGGCCAAGTTCTGGAGCTGTGTCTGTCATCCATTTATTGCCAGTCAGTCCCCTGGGAGCAGGTGCTCCAACAGCCTGCTGTTGCTGCCCCCAGCTGCCCCCAGGGAGAACTTCCACTGTGAGAGATTTTCCTCTCCTTGTTCTCCTTCCCCTGGCTTGACTGGGTAGAACTGGAGGAAATCCAAGGCCCAGACCTTGAAATCCTACATGGCTTGGGAGCTGCTGTCATCATGGTTGCCTCTAAAATGCATTGTCAGCTAGCTTAAGCTTTCTCAGACTAGTCTTGAAGGTCTACTCCGGAGTGTTTACAACCCACTTGGCATTTTGTATTTCAGGAGGCTTCAAAAGCAATCCATCCGGGGAACACCTTAGATCCCCACTTGTGTCCACACAGAGCTGCCCCTTTGGTGGCACTGAGGGGTCTGTGTTGTGATCCTGGGCTCCCCACAAGCCTGTGCAAGGTGGGGGGAGGGTGGGGGGGGACAGGACTGGGTCATCACTCTGTCCCCAGAACCTAGCACTTGCCTACCTCATGGATGGGCTCAGTAAATAGGTGTGGAATAAGAACACGAAGCCTGGCCAAGGTCAAGGGTTGGCACCCTGTGGTTTTAGCTGCAGCAGCCCCTGAGTGACCAAGAAAGCACCAAGGAGATGGTGCTGTGCCAGTGTAGTGCCTGGGAGAGACCTGGCATCCTCCAGTGTCACTGCTAGGGAAATCAAGGCAGAGAGACAGGAGATAGGATCCAGCAAAAGAGAGAATGCAGGGCTCGCAAGAGCCACGACTGGCTGACTGGATGGTTCTAAGGCTCTGGCTGGTAGGACCCTCCTCTAGTGCCCCCCGTGTCTCAGTAACTGGGCTGTCTGCCTCCACCCCCACCAGGTGAACTGTGTGACGAGGTGATTGACCACTGTGCACCAGGGATGAACCTCTGTCAGCACGAGGCCAAGTGCATCTCCCTGGACAAAGGATTCAGGTAAGGTTCTGCCCCCAGAAGTCTGGGGTTGAGGCACAGGCTCTTGTCTGTCTGTAATGTCGCATGCTTCTCTGTATCTGCGCAGTCGTGACCCAATTCTCTGTTTCCCCGTGCGTATCTCTGCTTCCCCATGTGTGTCTCTGTCTCTTGCAATTCTAAGTCTCAGTAGGAAGATTACAGATAGAAGGAGGAGAGCTGGGGAGGCAGAGAGACAATCAACAGGCAGCTCCCTTTCTTTCCCCACACTCTTTCCTCTCTCCCCTCTCTCCCCATCTCTATGACCCTTTTCTTTTTTCCCCAGCTGGGAAAGCAGAGCCTGGCCCACAGAGCCCAAAGGGCAGCTGGTGGCCTTCACCACAGGCAGTGCTCTGCCCAGTGTGGCTGTGGCAAGTTTGCCATCTTACACACCTTGGTTCAGGAGCCACTGCCCTTGGTGGCACTGCTCCATAGTTAGCAGCAGAGACAAGAGGAGCCATGGATCTAAGGGGACCGGAGAAGGGGCTGCCTCAGGAGAGGGCCACCTAGGTTTGTTTTTTAAAAATACTCTAAGATTTATTACAAAGGTGAGGGAGTTGCAGACCCATGTGGTTCTCAGATTAGAATGGAGAGTTGGGGTGGAGAGGAAGGTGAGTGAGAAGTAATTTCAGGTTTCCCTTCGGTGTCCATGGTGGGGGCTGCTGGAAAAGCACACCTCTCCTTGCCTTCCAGTCCTTATCAACTCCTGGGGACAGGGATGGTTGTTGGATGTTGTCTTGAGGCCCCTATTTTGGGAAGAATGTTCTGAGAGTTACTTGAGTGGTCTTGATTGTTCTGAGAAGTTGTGGGCTTTGTTTTACCAGAGATGAATTCTTTCTGAGGCCACTGGTTACCTGGGGGCTTTCACAGACCTAGGCGCTTGCTGTAGGGTCTGGCCTGGAATGTTGTTCAACCTGTCCTTCTTTCCATCCTTTGAAGAGGTACTCAAAGTCTTCTGTTGGCTTAGATGAACTGGCTGTTTTGTCTTTCATGTGCATTTGGATATGTTCTCTGTTGCACAGGTGTCAGCCACTGAGGCGGCATAGTCCTGCAACATGTGCAACAGGGTCAGACCCCATGTCTGTAATTTCCCTGAGGTCAGGGATTAAGTGCAGTGGTCCAACTGGGGAGTCTCCTAAGAAGTCTCCCTGTGAAAGCCTCAGACCTGTCTCCTGTGCACCAGCTGGTACAGGGTACGGCTCAGCCTGCCTAGACAGGGTGACCCCACCAGCCCATCCCATTCTGGAATCTGTGCTATTCCCAGTCACAAGATAGTGAGCTATGAGACTCCATGGTGTGTGAGACTGGGATGTCACCCTGCAAAGCTTGGTTAGGGTATCATGGAAACTCAGAATCTTAGAAAATCCCAGGCAATGACATCATCACGGAGTCAGTCACAGAGTTCTTGGGATTTAGAGTGGTGGATCATTCAAGCTGTAGAATCTCTGGGACTTGACTGGGAAACTCATAGAATCGAGAATCCCAGGTTCTCCCTGTTGTTCCCTACCTGGGCCCCCACCCAGCTGGCCCCCAAACTTTGTTTTGTGGGGTGCCCTGAGGACTGAGGTGCCTGTGGTTTCTTTCCTTGGCTGTCCCCATGGACCTGGGAGGGAGCAATGGGCATTTGACACAGGACATTTAGAAAACAAGGTGCTTCTTGGGCCGGTGATTCTGGCTCTGGTGTGCTCTGGGTTCTAAGGAAGAAAGAACCTCCTGGAGTGGGAGGAAAGCCTCAGGATGTGATCGAGCTTTGAGGACTTGAGAGGCCCCAGAATTGCAAGAAGGGACTCCAGTACGGGTGAGAGGGACATGATGATGTCTTTCCCTGGGGTTTTATTTTGTTTTAGCCTCAGCAGGGAAAATGCAAGATGTGTACTGGGGCTCTGCATTTATGGAGACCAAAAGAAGGACTCAGTCTGTTCATGTTTGTTCTCTACTCACAGTCACTGCTTTCCCCCATCCACTGCTGAGACAGGCTGCTGGGAACTTGTAAGTGATCAGGTCAGCTGAATATGAGGAGGAAGGCTGCCTCCCCAGAAGCCCACCCTTTACCCAGGATCTGACTTCAAGCCAAGAGCATCCCCACACTAGATACGCTAAGGGACAAACTGGAGCCCAAAGAAGAGCCCCATAAGCAGATGTCTTCTACTTAGGGTGCACCTTGAGAGGTGACTAGTTGGCAGTGGGAGAATCTGAGCTGTGCAAAAGGAGAATAGGTCCAGATGGAGAGGGGATGAATGGATAACCTCCCAGGCTTTGTGTTCAGCAAGCTCTAAGGTCACTGACTTGAAACTGTGCAGCAAGCAAGAAGACTGGGCAGGTGTGTTAGAAGGAGCAGGTTGGTTGGGCTTAGGAATGCTGGAAAGTGAAGCCTGCCAGATCTTGTATGCCCAATTATGGATACTTCACTCGACTGCAATTAATGCCCTTTGAGTTCTGGGACAATACAGAAAAAGGAGATGGCAGTCTAGTTTGCATTATCTGTAGATATTTTATTTATACATGATGTCTCCTATGGGACATCCTGAGGAGGGCTGGAGGCCAGCTCAATGATGTTAGCTTTTTAATAAAATGCATTTACATCAAAAATCCTTCCTCCCAGTGCAACATTTTATGATTTCATTCCCATCCCCTTCCATCTCCTACAAACAGCTCACACCCCACCACTGTCTAGAGGGTTTATTAACACAAGAAATAACACAGTCAGTGTGACCTCTGCCCAGGCTTGAAGATGTTTATCCTTGGAGATCTCCTTGTATGCTCTTCAAGTGAGGGCTCAGTAATGGGCACACAACTCCTGCCCACTTGCAGGTGCATATCATAACAAACACAGCTCAGCCTTCCCAGCATTCACGGGGAACATGCTTGGCCTCAGGCACCATGCCCCGGATCATTGGACACCCAGTAATCTTAGCAGAAACTGCTGTCCCCATTCTATGAGCAGCACAGTCAGGAAACAGGCTACCTTCTCACATGCATAGGAGGAAGACAACTGCGAGTCATTCTCAACAAAATCCAGAGACTCCACATGTCCTGGAACCAAGGACACCACTTGGTCACTTCCCCTGACTTACAGTCCGAAGCTATGCTCCAGAAGTTTGAATGAGCCTCACACTTGCACTAAAAGAAAGATAAAAAGCAAGACCTTTGAGAGCAGTGCGGGTAATGTCACCAGCTGCTTCGCTTTAGTCCATGGAGGAAAGTCATGGAGGTCCTTGCTATTGGAAAAGAGATGGGTGAAAGAACAGATCGTGTCACAAGGGAGCTTGCTGCAACGCACAGTCCCAGGCCCCCCTCAGATTCCCTGGTTTGGTCAGGAACTGTGTTTCCACCAGATTCCTGGGTGTGTTGTATGCTCCTGAAAGTCTGAGATGCTTGTGGGGTGGTTGCGGTGGCTATGATAAAAAGAGGACTGGAAACATGTTTGTCTCAGTCCTCTACTGCCTAGCCTGGGAGTGGAAATTGCTTTCCTACTTCCTTAGGAGAAACTACCCCAGCCTTGGATTCCATGCTTCACATTTTGGACTTTGTCAAGTATTGTGCAGCTAACCCAGTGTTGGGTTGCCTTCAAGGTCAAGTGGCTGGATTTGGGCTGCAGATTCTTTTTAGAATCCAGGAGACACAGCCATGGATGTCTGCCAGGGCCAGGGCTCACATGGGGCCCACACTGTATTGCAGACTGGGCATGTACCCCACAAGGATGTTTCTGGTACATTTCTTTCTTATTATTTAAAGATTTATTTTTATTGGAAAGGCAGATTTATAAAGAGAAGGAGAGATATAGAGAAAAAGATCTTCCATCTACTGGTTCACTCCCCAAGTGGCCGCAATGGCAGGAGCTGAGCCAATCCGAAGCCAGGAGCCAGGAACTTCTTCCAAGTTTCCTAGATAGGATCTCAAGGACTTGGGTCATGCTCTACTACCCTCCAGGCCACAAGGAGGGAGCTGGATGGGAAGTGGAGCAGCGGGACAAGAACTGGCGCCCATATGGGGTCCTGGCACATGCAAAGCAAAAATTTAACCATTGAGCCATCACACTGGGCCCCTTGGTAGGTTTCTTTAGAAGCCTCTGGATAATCATGAACTACACTGAGTAAATGTACAACTTCTGGTGCAGCAGGTTAGGTACTTCACATTTGCCTGTCAAATTAATCCAAGTGAATTGGCCAGATCTTAGCAAACTTTATCATTTTGGAACACAGGCCCAGGAAATCTTGGGCTTCTGAGATTTACTCTTCTAGAGAATTCCCTACCTGCTTGGAGCCTTGCCTAGCTATAACTATACAGCATGCTCTCCCAATGGTGTCCGGGTCTATCTGTGGATTCCATCCCACTGCTCCTGGGGGTAGGGGTGGACAGAGAAGGGAGGACCATTTCTTGTCTCGTCATGGGACAGCCTGAGTCTTCAGAGCTCTTGCACTCCTTCCTCTCCCCTCCCCTGTCCTCATTACCTCCTCTGCCCATGCCCTTCCTCTTCTGTTGTATGTTTTGATTATTGCTGTTACTCTGCCTGGTTGAACTCAACTGGTAAGACTAGAGAGGTAGACAGGAGGAGGCAAAAGAGTCCATCTGCACTGTGCTTCTTCAAACCAGTGGGTGTCAGCCCCAGGGACCTTCCCATCCTCTTTCATACTGGCCTTTCAGTTCTTTGTTACTGCAGATGGAAAGGCCCAGATGTGCGTGTTCCTAGCTCACCCAGGGAGACCAGGTGTCAGCTCCAACAACTGTCTTGGGCTAGATTTTAAATCTGAGCTAGTAGGACACTGTTGGAGTGATGAATGCTTTGCTGTTTAGGGAAGACCTGGCCCAGTGTGCAAGCCCTGGGGTGGGGCAGTCACTCCTGTCCTGTTTCCTGGGGTGTAGGAGAATAACAGATTATGCCGTTTTATCCCTGTCTGAATCTCACGGGGCAGGGGGTGATAAACAAGCAGTAAAACCATATCCAGAGGCATACACGCAGTCACATTAGGTTCATCAGTTATACACCATGCCTGTCATTTACTCTGTGTTTAGTGTACTCCATGGAGCCTATCTTAACCCCTTTTTAATGTAAGGGGCTGATGGACATACAGACCAGGATTCCCCATTCATTGGTTCACTCCCAAATGGCCACAATAGCCAGAGCCAGGCCAGTCTACAGCGAGAAGGCTGAAATTCCATCCCGTTCTCCCAAATGGATAGCAGGAACACACCAAGTAGACCCAGCTTGATCTCAGAGAATAAAGGCTATGGACTGCCCCTGAGGCCCGGAGACGAGTCCACCCTGGTGGAGTCGTTTGGTGAGGGGAAGCCTGAGAGCCACCAGAGAGCTGGCCCCGTGGAACACTGTCCCTCTGCCTGTGTTCCAGGTGTGACTGTCTCCCCGGCTACAGCGGAAAGCTCTGCGAGACAGACGACGATGACTGCGTGGCCCACAAGTGCCGCCATGGGGCCCAGTGCGTGGATGCGGTGAACGGCTACACCTGTATCTGCCCCCAGGGCTTCAGGTATGGCAGGGGAAACCTGGGTCAGAGGGCATGGGTGGAAACCCAGAGCCACGCAGCTCCAAAACTCCCCATGGCACCTCTGTGTAGAAGTTAGGTTGGGGGTCCAAATCCTATCATGTCATGTCTGTTGAAAGATGTTCCTGCACTGGGAGCTAGAACTGGAAGGGAAGGACATGGGGAAGAGTAGGGGAGTCTGCCAGTGGGGTCAGACCAGGGACCATGCCACGGCTACCAGAGCTCTCTGGCTGGTGTCCGGTTAGAATGTGCTAACCAGCCTTGCAGTGGACTCCAGCCCTGTGGGGTTACGGAGCCAGTACTCTCCAGGACCCCAAGGCCCTCCACATCAGACGCACCCTGAGCCCGACCCAAGAGCTCCTGAACTAACATTGGGGTGGGAAGGGCATATATATAGAAAAGGGACTGAGAGCCTGGACTTTTTCTTAATTGTGATAAAATATCTACAACATGACATTCAACAGCTTGGCTACTCAGGAGCCACGGCTCAGTAGCATTGAGAACTTTTCCACAGAACTGTTTTGTCTTACAAAACTGGAACTGGCCCCTTAGAGAGCAGGTGCCTGCTCCTCGCTGCGGCCTCTCGTAGGCCATCCACTTCCGTCTCTGTGACTACTGTGGCAGGTGAGACGGGAACTGTCCTTCCGAACCAGCTCGTCTGCCTTAGCATAACGTTAGTTCTCAAGCGCAGGTCAGAATTTCATGGCTGCAGCAAGCAGAACAATTCCACTGCTTTAACAGACCACATTCTGTCTAGCCATTCACCTGCGCTTGGAGGGGAATCAGCACTGCTAACAAATCCATCCTAGGGCCTTGTGATGACACTGGAATTTGGGGACCTAAGCTCTAGACCCACTCCATAATTTTGAAAATGGGGGAAGTGAGACTAGAGAAGAAGGTTGTGGCCCAGGCGCGAAGTCTGTTGCCTTTCTCCGTCCACCTCTGCGCTGCAAGTTCTTTGGCCCTAATAACTGTGCCTGCCTTCTCTGCCCTAATCGCAGCGGGCTCTTCTGCGAGCACCCCCCACCCATGGTCCTGCTGCAGACCAGCCCCTGTGACCAGTACGAGTGCCAGAACGGAGCCCAGTGCGTCGTGGTTCAGCAGGAGCCCACGTGCCGCTGTCCGCCTGGCTTCGCCGGCCCCAGGTGCGAGAAGCTCATCACCGTCAACTTCGTGGGCAAGGACTCGTACGTGGAACTGGCCTCCGCAAAGGTCCGGCCCCAGGCCAACATCTCTCTACAGGTGCGCTGACTCCCCTCCCTCACCCCCCTCCACCCTTGGAGGGATCCAGCACAAACGTCCCCAAGCTCCTGACCTGTCCACAGAGTTCAACAGAGAAATCCTGGCCAGCTCTCACTGCAAACACAAGCCTCTCTTCTACTCCGGTTCCCTCCTTCCATTAGGAAGCTAGCTGACTGACTGTTGTGGGCCAGGCTGTGTGCTGAGCAGAGAGGAATCACTGCAAGGCAGGCAGCTCCCCTTGTCCAGGGCAGGATGGCCAGGAAGGGGACAGGGACAACCCTGGGTGCAAGGGGAGCATTCAGGAAGGGGTAGTGACTCCAGCCTGTTGCGAAGCATCAAGGAAGGCTTCCTGGAGGCAGTGAGAGCTGTGTGCTGGGATCTGAAGAATAAACAGGTTCTTCCCTGTGAGATCAGCATGTGCAAAGGCCCAGGGACACAAATAACAGAATTTTTTTCAGGAATAGAAAACCATTTACCATGAGCCATGTACTTTTCCATCCAACTTCTCTCAGGCTCCTTCCTTTTGCACCTGAGCACGTTTCTTCCAAACTGCATTTCTGGTCACCCTAATTGCAGGGATAGAAAAAGAACAGGCTCACTGGTCTCACTGTGCTTTAGACCAGGGGCCCAAAGGATGCAACTGGTAACCACTGATTGTCATGGAGGCTGGGCACCACCAGGCACCGCCTGGCACTGACTCAGGCTCTGCCCTCCCTCTGCTCATGACTCCAGGAGCCCAGGATTAGTGCTGACCATGAGCAGAAAATTCACATTTAACAAAGACCCACTGGGGACCTCCGTGCTCGGTGCCACTGCTGTAAGCCATGTAGCTGTAGGGATTCAAGAAAGTCCAAACTGCCTCCCCTTGTCTGAGAGACACAAACACAGAGCAGGTTCTAGCGGCAACAACTCCTCCTGTCGCCCTCCCTCAGCCACGCCCACCCTGGCCCCTGGCTATTGGGTGTCCACTAGCCAAGCATTACACATGTCCATTTCAAGATGTTCCATACCGCAATCCCCAGGCCATGCCTGCTGGGGCAAGGGGATTCACCAGGCCATCAGAGAGGACCCTCCCTGCAGCCAGGAGACAGGCAAGCACCCCGTGAACCCACTGGCTGGCAGCTTTGGCGGTGCCCAGGATCAGCTGCAGAACTTGGAAGGTGATTGGTGTGTGCTCCACCTCCGACATGTTCATGTGTGTCTGGTCTAGGGTGAAGCCCAGATGCTGATGTTTTCAAAACTGTCCCCAGGTGACCCAGAATGACACCTGGTTCGGAACAAGCATTCAATTAACCGGTGACTGCTGGCACTTTGTTTAGAATAACCATTAGTGAATGGTAGACACAGAAACGTGAGCGTGGGAGAGGACAGATGGGTGCTTGGGGCTCCGTAGCCACAGGTTTCCCATTCGCTGATCCAAGCAAGTACACCTTGATGATTCAGTCGTGTCTGACGTGAACGCGTGTGGACCTTATGTTCCTGTCACTATGCCCAAAGAAATACAGTGTGACAACGAGTCACATGGCCTCACACGGTGCTGAGTTTTTACAAGTCGCCTGGAGAGGATGCCGTGTGCACAGGTTCTGTGCACAAGCAGGGCCATTTCACACAAAGGACTTAAGCATCCAAGGATGCTGGTGTCCAAAGAGGCCCAGGGTCCCGTCCTCCATGGATTTGAAAGAACTTTAAAAAAGAATGGAATTTGACAACCCATTTATTTTGGTGCGGCATTTTTCAAGCACACGGTTCTTTCACAATGTGAATTGTCCAGGGCCTCTGAAGATCCCTCATCTGGGAACACCGTGGCACGCAGGAGCTGCTCCACCAAGGTTGGTGGCAGTGGTGTGCTCAGTGAGGGGCCTGGCCTCCAGGCGAATGTGCAGACCAGACTGGGGAGAGAACAGATACAAGGCCAAGTCCGTGGTGGGTCCAGAGGCGGACATTGTGAGGTGGGAAGCCTCAGCAAGCCCCAACCCGCATGTCCTGTTTTTCTGTCCAGGTGGCCACTGACAAGGACAATGGCATCCTGCTCTACAAGGGAGACAATGACCCCCTGGCACTGGAGCTGTACCAGGGCCACGTGAGGCTGGTTTACGACACGCTGAGTTCACCTCCAACCACGGTGTACAGGTAAGAGCCGGGCAGCTTCTCCCCACTCGCGTGTGCACGCCCCCTTGCCCCTGGAAGAGCTGGAGTTGTCGGGCTGGGAGGGAGAAAGGCGGGACTGGGGGGAGCGACAGGAGGAGGGCAGGCTGAGGCAGGGAGACGACACCTCATTACCATAAGATAAATGACCGGCTGGCTGCTGCGCAGGAAGGTGGGGGGCACTCCAGTGGGGACGAGCCTGCTTAATGAGATGCCCTTTGCAAAATGTCACCCTAATCTTTTATTAGTTTAAGAAAGAAAACGGGGCGATTAGCATGCAACTGGAAAGGAAGCAAGCAGCAGGCGCTAAGGGACAGGGCAACTCCTTACTACTCCTTAAGTGACTTCCAGGCTATTCTGAAGGACAACGTAGCCTAAACTTTACGCTTCCCGTCAGCCGCCCTCATTCTGGCCTTGTCCGTGCGGCCCAGACACTCTTCACACCCATGCTGTTTGTGCACCAGTTCTCAGCCAGCTCACTTTATTTATTTATTTTTTATTTTAGCTTCGCCTTAAGTACTAGCACAGACATATGTGCTCATTAGGGGGTGCTAAATACTTTGAATGGCCCAGGAAAATAGAGCTTGTGTGTCCCAAACTTCAAGATCCCGAGGGGCCCCAAAACCTGAAGGTTTTTGAGTACCAACATGACATTCAAAAAGTTTCAGATTTTGAGCATTTGGGATTAGGGATGTCCAACCAGTGGAGTCTGTGAACATTCCAGAATCCCAAAAGTTCCAAGATGTGTACTACATCTAGTCGCCAGCATCTCAGGTAAGGGATAATCCACCTGCACTGAGTAGCTGCTTTAAAAAGCACTGTGTTCCTAAAGATGGTAGATTAACTATAAAAATATCCTGAGGTTTTTAAAGCAGCAGAGGCGACCTTGGGGGAGGCCTTGGGGAAAGCCGTGGCGCAGACAAGAGGCCACTCTCACTGGTTGCACTGGGAAACGAGAGCACGTTTCCTGGGCTTGGGGAAAGGGCAGCTCTGCATGGCCTTTCTTGGTCCCCAGTGACTGCATAGCTTCTTCAGTGAGGCCTCCTACAGAACCCAGGAGGGGAACAGCTCTGCCCTGCACGGCTGGGAGAGCCACGTTGTGTCCACACAGGCCGTCTTCCTTCAGATCCGGTGGCCGAGACCAGGGCTGAATTATTAGTATTATTATTGTTGTTGTTGTTTTTGTTGGGAAGTCAGATTTACAGAGAGAAGGAGAAACAAAGAGAAAGATTTTCCATCTGCTTGTTCACTCCCCAAGTAGCCACAACAGGCCAAACTGAGCCAGTCCGAAGCCAGAAGCTTCTTCTGGGTCTCCCATGCGGGTGCAGGGTCCCAAGGCTTTGGGCCATCCTCCACTGCTTTCCCAGGCCACAGGCAGGAAGCTGGAAGGGGAAGTGGAGCAGCCGGGACACAAACGAGTACCCATATGGGATTCTGGAGCATGCAGGGCGAGGACCCCAGCCACGAGGCTACTGCGCTGCCCAAACCAGTGTTTCTTAAAGTATGGTCCCTACATTTCAAAATATACACATTCAGCCCAGAACTGCTAAACTACAGGCTTACAGGCTGGGCTGCCCACACCCTACCACCACCAGATACACAAGGCTGAGCAACACCCTGAAGAAAGCAAGGAAGTGGTGTGAACAGAGAGAACAGGTGAGCAGGCCAGGGTGAGTCAGAGCAGAGGCTTCCTGTGGTGAGTGGGAGCAGAGAGGACCCCTAGCAGGTAACTGGGTACAGCAGCCACCAGAGGGAGAAACCTGCCCAGGGGCCCAGGACTCCCCGGAGACTGGCTCTGCCCCCTCTGCCTGCCCCACACTGTGTGTGCCTGGAGCCCACAGTCCTGGCCCGTGCAAACACCAGGGAGAGCCAGGCAGACAGGGCTGAGGGCAGCCGGACAGCGCACAAGCTGAGCGAAGGCCTGCTGCTCTTCATGTCCTCCCTGTCCTCCCCCGGATCCAGCAGACAATAGCAGGAGGTTCCTCCTGGGGTGAGCGCTGAGGGTTAACAACGTGCTTGGCAAAAGGGAACTTGACCTGGACATGTGGAGCCCAGAAGGTCCAGGGGCAGCTGGCCCCTGTCTGCAGCTGCAGGGCCTTCCCCTCCTCTGCAGCTAGCTGAGTCATGAGGACGCTGAGAAGGTTATAACTTGAGGCTGAGCTGTGACCCCTGACTGGGATTAGGTAAGATTTAGCAGATGGCCCTAGGGAGCCACCAGGATCTCTGTCTTAACCCTGGGGGAGAAGTGAGTTGAGGCTGCCCTGGCAGCCCTGGCCTGCGTTCTCATGCAGTGTCTCCCATGTACAATCCCACCGACCTCCTGAAACCCCAGATTAGAAAGAATTTCGCTTCCAAAATTTCTTCTGGGTCTGCTTTCGCAGGCTCCTAGCCAGGGCTGGATCGGAAGTGGAGCATCCGGGACTTAAACTGGCACTCATCTGGGAGGGACACTGGCACTGCTGCAAGCAGCTTAACTCATTGTGCCACAGTGCCGGCCCGTGGTATGAAGCTTTCCACGCGTGGCATCGTATCCGTACTCAGGAAGCTTCGGCTGAGGGAGCACTCTGGACTTTGGATTTCCGGGTTAGAGACGATCAGCCTGTAGTAGGAGGATTTACACACTCATCAATTCAGTCATTCAGGCACATCGTGTTTGGGTCCAGCCTGGATCAGGTGTAGGGGACACAGGATTAAACACATGCAGTCCAGGGAGAAAAGCAAGCCACAGATACACAGAATCAACTATGTAGCATCTTCCTAAAGTCCACCGGGAGATGTATATTGTGGGGAGGGGGAAACCACTGTACATCAATTTCAAGTGCATTTTTCCATGAACTTTCTGAAGTGTGCTGACTGCATACACACTCACATGCTGTGGGGCCAGTTGTGAACAGGAGCAAACATTTCGCAGAGTGGAGGACTTGGGGTGTCTGAGTTGAGGCTTGAGCCCTGCAAAGGCGCCAGTCCACCAGCAGGCAGAGGACACCACTCAGCAGCGGGGATGCCATGCCGAGAAGGGCTCGGGTCTGTGAGGATGTGGGCAGGAGACTGTGCCAGCCCCAGCCCGTGAGGGCCCCTCCTCGGAGTCAGTGTAGTGGCCAGGGCCTGGGGCCAAACCAGCCCTGATCTGAGCAGGGCAGTCAGCAACCTGCAGATGTCTGCCGCCCACCCCCATCCCTCCACCCCCAGCACCTCCAGGGTGAGGATGGGCAGTCAGGGCCCCTAGCAGGGACTGACACACTTAGAGGAACAAGACTTCCAGGGCTCCTTCCTGCCATTGCCTGAGTTTGTTCATCGCCCACAGTTGGCAGTGGATCTGCCTACAGAGGTTCCAGTCCAGGCCCCAAGGAAGTAACTCAGAAAGTAACTCCCCGCCCCAGAATGAGGACAGACTCTGTTGTTCCTTCCTTCAGAGGCTTGTCCCAGGGGCAGCCTCTCACTGCAGGCCAGGCCCTGGGGCCAAGGAAGCAGCACCCTAACCCTGGAAAGTGGGCGGGGATCCTCTAAAGAGTGCTGGAGACTGCGGCAGTCGGGAAGGTACAAGCCAAGTCCAAAGGGGCAGCTCCAGCTGCTCTCCGCTCCAGCAGATAAAACCTGAGAATTCAGATTGGCAAGAGAAGCTGGAAATGGGACCCTCAGTGACATACCTGTTTTTAAAAGTTGGTCGCTTAAAAATCGCCATGGCCAGCTCTGCTTGGCACAGTGCATGCTCCCCTGGTCGCTGCCGCCAAGTGTTTGTCCCCTTCGGTCCTCAGCTGCAGCCCCAGTCCAGCAGTCTTTGTTGTAGAGCTGGGAAACCTGACACTCACAAGTCCCATCTGTGGCAGAGCTGAGGCTGAAAGCCATGGCAGGCTTCTCTCAGGACTGGCTGACTGCTCCTGAAGGGCATGAAAAGACCAGGGTAGAGGGTGGCCATTGCTGGGCCGGTGTGCCGCAGAAGGGTTTAGCTTCTGCCAGCGCTGAGGTCTCCACCTGCTGCCTAACCTAAACTCCCTGGAACTCTTAGTCCCAGTGAGGCTCTGTCGCCACCTAGTGGCCACATCTCAGCCTCCAGGTGAGAGTACGCTGCACCTAAAGGAATACACTGCCTCTTCATCCCACTCCTCCCATAGCACAAGGTCCTACAGGAGTCCTATCTCAACGTTAAGCTTCTTATTCCTAAAATGGAAAAGAATCATGCCTCACCCATAGGAGTTGTTGCGGTTAAATGAGAAGGCAAGTGCTCAGTGTGGCCTGCCCCTTCTGAGCCCGGCATTATCATTGAAACAGAAAGAGGCTTCCCTTGGAAGGGTTTCCTGCCAGAGGGACCGCTGTTGGGATGCAGCACACACCCGCACACACAGCAAGAGAAAGAAACACCGTCCACAGCTGGGAAGTGAATTCAGAGCAACATCCCAGCTCTCCAAGGGAACAAACTCAGGGCAGTTTGAAAAAAGGAAGGGCAAAGCCAGGAGTTGAAGGAGGAAGTGAACTGGGGTGACTTTGGGCCAGTGCCTTGGAATGGCCGTCGATGATGATGGTCCAAGCACTTGGACCCCTGCCACCCAGGAGGGAGACATGGGCCAGGCCTGGCTGTTAGAAACGGGACATCTCGGGGCCCGGCGCGGTGGCGCAAGTGGTTAAGTCCTCACCTTGCACGCCCGGGATCCCATATGGGCGCCGGTTCTAATCCCGGCAGCCCCGCTTCCCTTCCAGCTCCCTGCCTGTGGCCCGGGAAAGCAGTCGAGGACGGCCCAAAGCTTTGGGACCCTGCACCCGCGTGGGAGACCCGGAAGAGGCTCCTGGCTTCGGATCGGCATAGTATCGGCCCGTTGCGCTCACTTGGGGAGTGAATCATCGGACGGAAGATCTTCCTCTCTGTCTCTCCTCTCTGTATATCCGCCTTTCCAATAAAAAATAATAAAAATAAATCTTTAAAAAAAAAAAAAAAAAGAAACGGGACATCTCTCTGTGTTTTCCCCCTCTCTGCCTTTCATATAAATAATCTTATCTAGGGAGGAGGGGGAGTGAAAGAACTCCAGGGTCCTCTGTGGCCAGTGCAAGTAGGTGGGCCTGTCAGGCCTGGACGGGGGCCATCCAGCCCGGGTCTGACACCTCCCCCCAACACTTGAAGCTGGTTCCATCTGACCAAGCACCTCCAAACCCCCTTCTCTCCCCTGCAATCCTAACTTTCTCTACAGGAAGACAGATGGCTGGATCTTGGAAACTGTCTGATCATGTTTTTTGGTTTTTTTTTTTTTGAAGATGTATTTATTTATTTGAAAGAGTTAGAAACAAAAAGATATTTTCCATTCATATGGTTTCAACAGCCAGTGCTGAGCCAGGCAGAAGCCAAGAGCCAGGAGCCTCCTCCAGTTGTCCCATGGGTGTAGTAAGGTTGCAGGCACGTGGGCTTTCTCCCACTGATTTTCCAGGCACATTAGCAGGGAGCTGGATGAAAAGTGAAGCAGCCAGGCTACAAACCCATACCCATACGTAATGTTGGCATCACAGGTAGTGGCAGCTTTATTCACTAGGCCACAATACTGGCTTCTTTATTTTTTTTTTTAAATTTTATGGTACAATACTGGCTTCTGATTCGTATTTTAAACAGCAGGGTTTTTTGTGGTAGTTTCAGTTTTCATCCATTTCATAGCAGTAGAGCCAGCGTTCCTGTTGATATTTTCCTGCAGATTTCTGTAAAGCAAGCAGAAATGGAACACATTGCTTTGGGGATGGTGGTAAACAGTCCGAGCTCGCAGCACTGCCCACCCCGGAGCTCGGAGGACTCACACTTTGGAAAGAACTAGGTGTGGGCACTGTCTCCAGGACAGCCTAGTTGACCCAGGAACCTACAGACATCTTCTGGCGTGGGCAGGGTTTCAAGAGGTCTGAGTTTGGAATCAATGCTAATTTTGACCCTCAATTCCACCACTCCCTAGTAACTTGACCTTGGTCATCATTTGGCCAGGAGCGGGTGGAAGTGTACAGAGCCAGCTGACTGTAGGGTCGACAGTGCAGCAAATGGACTCTCCAAGGGTCCGCTTACTTGCTTTCCTGCCCTGTCCCTGCCACACCGAATTCCAGCAGAAATGACTGATGGAGTGATGAGACTTGCCCAGGGCCATGTGAGCTGCAGGATCCAGTGACACCAGCCCCCGACACCCCTGAGTCCACAGTGACTGGAGGTTATAGCTGGAGGAAGGAGGCCTGCCTAGGATTTCAGGATAGGTCTTTGACAAAGCTGGGTACTGTAGAACCTAGCAAGTCTTCTGAGATGGAAGCAGGTGACTACACTAGCCTCTGGGCCCCCAGAACCCTGGTAAACCACTGTCTATAGCCAGGGGCCTTGGCTGACTGCAGGATGTGTGGGCCTTGGAGGCCAGACCCCAGGTCCCTGCAGCCAGGGGCCTTCGAAGCCAAGCCCCGTGTTCCTGGCTGGCTACAGCCACAGGGCTTGGAGGTCAGGCCCCAGATCCCGGGCTGGCTACAGGATGTGTGGGCCTTGGAGGCCAGGCCCCTGTCCTAGGTCCTGGGTCCCTGGCTGTCTGCAGTCAGCAGGGCTTAGAGGCCAGGCCCCCAGTGCCAGGCTGGCTGTTGGACTCAGGAAAGGGAGAAGGGAATGGGCCTGGAGCCAGCAACCATGAGGGAGTAGGGATGTGTTCTCTGTGTATGTGTGTGTCCATGTTGTTAAAATAGCTGCCCCGACTCTAGCGTGAAATAGGAAACCAAGACCACCCACCCAGAGCCGCAGCCTCCAGTCTGTTCCCTTCCTGACAGGGCCGCCCGGCATCCACTTGCACACCTCTGATGCAGGCAATGCATTTGCATTCAGGATGGCATCCGTTCACAGGATGGTTTGGAGGTGCAGATGCATAATTTTGCATCTGTGACTAGAAAACGTGTGACTGTTCAGGGTGAGAAGTTTAGGGTCTCTGCCTTTTTCTCAGCTCAGGGCTTGGAGTAATTCAAGGCTTCTAAAGTTGGCTTCTTAGTTCGCAAAAGCAGACACTCTCCTCCTCCAAGTGGGCTCTCTTGGCAACACTTCAACACCCCCTAACTTATTCCTTGGCCAGGTTCATCATTTCAGAGGAAAGGCTAAGGGAATTAGAAGGTAAGCCTTGTGAACGTGGGTGCACTTGGTCACCTCCTTGCTGACATTCCCGAATCTGAGTCAGTCAGGGGAAGGGTCCTGACGGCCTGCAGAGTCAGTGCCACCACCCACCCGGATCCTCCTGCTGCACCCAGCGGGGATTCCCCGGTGACACTTTAAGCAGCAGTTTCTGTATTTGCCACCAACACCTGCATGGGGTAAGACAGCGTGCAGCCTGCTCCTAGGCGAGCCCTGTTCCCCAGGGAGAAGATGTCACCTCCTCCACACTTCTGTCACCTCCCATCACCCTTCCCTTCCAGCCCTGCCAAGAACAGAAGTAGCCTGGTAAGAACAGGGATGGCTCTTTTTTAATGTTGTTATTATTTTCCATGATGATTTTGTAAGGGTCAGGGGTTGTCTACTTCTGCTCTTGGTTTTCTTCCATGTTATTACAGTGGTGTAGTCCTTTAGAGCAGTTATAGATTTAACATTCTGCTATTTAAAGAACATGATGCACTGTAGGTATAGGCAAAGGTAGAAACTCTAGTATCATATTTGTAAGGTCTATTTAACTATTTCGTTGGGACATCTTCTCTTATTTGGGAGTAGAGATGCCCACTGCAATGTGTCTTCACTGTCCGGTGTGCTAGTTTCCATTCTACAGGTCATCTATGAGAATACATATTCATGTGTATATCTATTTGCTTTGCATCTTGCATGAATTTGCCTTATATCAGAGAGAACATATGTATTTGTCCTTTGGGGGATTGATTCATTTCACTAAACATAATGGTTTCCAGTCGGGACCATTTTGTGAAGAGCAAGGGTTTCAAGTCAAAAGTTTTGCCCTTAAATTCTGTCTATGGCATGAACTGGTTGGGTGACCAGAGACACACCACTAACCTTCTCCGACCTTTATCTATGACATGGGGTATCTGGTACCCACTTTGTGGAGATAGGAGATTCAGATCGTGTAAGCCAGCCATTCAGCAGTGTCCTGGTCATCGAGAGACCTCCAGAGGGAAGCCAGGCGGGGCTGTAGGGATGAGCGAAGGTGACAGTGGACAGGAGGAGCGTCCATGGGTCCAAATGCTTACTGTGCCCCCCAGTGCCTGGCGCAGTGCTGGGTGAATGCGGGAGCTCCTGGGCACCCAAGGTCGCCTTGCTGTCATGGAGACGACAAGCCCCCATGTACTGAACGACTCACTCCACCTAATGTGGCATGTCCACTGTGGAGGAGGGCAGTGCGGGACATGAATTTAGGTTGGGCAAAGACAAGCTACAGGAAATTTTCACAGGGAGGTCATCTTGTGCTAGAGAAAAGAATTTAAAAGTGTGCCAAAGCATGGTTTCTGCACACACAACTGGTTAGGTGGTAAGCTTTTCTCTTTTATGGGATTTAAGGGCAAATGGGGCAAGTGATGATGAAAGATACGCTAAGGAACAGGTGAGGTGGGATGCCAGTGGAGCCAGATTTGAGAAGGTGGTCTGAGGATTAGGTTTGCTGACTCTGTACAATGCTTCTTGCAGAAGGTAAAAATATGATGGCCAAGTGCAATACTTTACAGCAGACAGGATCTTAAACTGGAAGGGAAAAAAATACAATAAAAAGCACTGAGTCCGCTGGAACATTAGGAAACAGGATAGATACAGAGGGCATGCAAATTTGCCAGTGTTGTGCTTCGGTAAGAGAATAGTTCTAGTCATGGGAAACTGAGACACCCCGAGACAAAGGGCCATGATGTAAATGCCTGTAAATGGTTCAGCAAAACTATTTGTGCATACATAGGTACCTGTGTGTTGAGGCGATAGAATTGAGGCTATGGACATCTTCTATGCTGTTGTCTAATTTTTGCAATTATCTGAGTTTGAACTCATTCCCAAGTCAAAAGGAAAACAAAATTCTAGGGATGCAGGTCAAGTTTCCGGCTCAGTGATCTCTCCCCTTCTCTCCTGGCCAGCGTGGAGACGGTGAACGACGGGCAGTTCCACAGCGTGGAGCTGGTGATGCTGAATCAGACCCTGAACCTGGTGGTGGACAAAGGAGCCCCCAAGAGCCTGGGCAAGCTCCAGAAGCAGCCAGCAGTGGGTACCAACAGTCCTCTCTACCTTGGAGGTAATGCCATCCTCCCCTGCCCCCTCTGGCCGTGCTGTTCCCCAGCACCCACTTGCACACCACTGCTGGGACCGCAGCTGCTCTCAGCACAAAGTGCCAAAGCCAATCAGAGACAGCTTCCTGGAAGAAGTGATAGCCAAGCTGCTCCCTAGGAAGTTGAGTACTCATTAGCCTCGTCATGGAGAAGATAAAGAGAGCCGGTGGCTCCTTCTAGAACTATGGGTTGTTCTATGGGTTGAACTATGGGAAAGAAGGACGGGGGACAGACTGAAGGTAGAAAGGGCAGGGTTCTGAGGCCAGCCAGGAGATGGAAGCAAATCCCGTTTTTGCTGAAGTCTAGGGGCCTCAGGCCCCACTCGGTTGCTCTGCTGTCTCCCAACACTGCTAGGTTCGCTAATCAATGCAGGAGACAGACCACAGACACACCTGCCCAAAGTGGCCTCCTCTAGGCCGAGCAATCTGCATTGTTCACAGGGTGGTCACACGCAGGGAGGGCCCAAGGGGCCACTGCTTCTTTCCCACCCAACGCGGTAGCCTCTCTCCCCCTCCCCTGTTGTAACCTGAACCAAACCTCAGACTCCCCACTACAGGATGTGGGCAGGGAGTGGCATCAAAAGGCAGGCATGAAAACATAAACCATGCTCCACTGAGAAGGCAGTCAGGTCCTGAAAATGCAGAGAAGAGGGGTACATGGCACAGAAGGGTGTCACATGATCCTTAGACCTTGAACCCAAAAGTTCCACTGCTCAGGGCTAAGCGCCCAGGTCCCTCTTGTCTCCCAAACTGCAGCTTGCCCACCGTGGGTTCTCCTGCAGGGCCTGGTAGGGACAGCAGAGTAAGTGGTGTGTCATACATGCTGTGTGACAGTGGGTGACCAGATGGTCTCCCTTCCACAAGCCAGGGAAGCCTAAAATCTAAAGGGATTTTTAATACATTTCTCTTTAAACACTGAATTCAAGATTTGTATGAGGTCCCAGTGCAGAGGTATGTGTGGTTGTGCAAGGAGGGTCCAGTATGAACCCATTACTTCCTCGTGACCAGCACATGCCCAGCGCTCTGAGAGCCACTTAACCTTGAGTGCAGGAAGGCCAGCTGCCTCACCCCAGGGACACCAAGTTTGGCAGGCAGGATAGGCAGGGCAGGGCCTTTAGGCTAACCTGGCTCCCCGTCCACAGGTATCCCCACCTCCACCGGCCTCTCCGCCTTGCGCCAGGGTGCTGACCGGCCACTGGGCGGCTTCCACGGCTGCATCCATGAGGTGCGCATCAACAACGAACTGCAGGACTTCAAGGCCCTCCCGCCACAGTCGCTGGGAGTCTCGCCGGGCTGCAAGTCCTGCACTGTGTGCAAGCACGGTCTGTGTCGCTCCGTGGAGAAGGACAGTGTGGTGTGTGAGTGCCACCCTGGCTGGACAGGCCCTCTCTGCGACCAGGAGGCCCAGGACCCCTGCCTCAGCCACAGGTCAGTGTCCCGAGAGCTTGGATCTGCTCCCTCTAGCTCCCGGCAGGGGCTGAGAGGTGGCCACTGCTGCCTGCTGGAGGCAGTGTGGTCAGCCTGGAGGGAAGGCTCTGTGTCGTTGCTCGAGGGACAGGAGGCTGAGCCTGCACATCCAGCAGCAGGTCCCTCTCCCTCCCTCGGGCATCTGCATGAAGGGCTTTGGTCAACCTGTCTTTCCCAAGCAGCCTGTGCAGCCTGCAGGCACTTGGCATGGCAGCCAGAATGGGGGTCAATTTGCCACCCCTTTGGCCAGGTCCCCGTGTGGACTGTCAGATGTGTATAACTACACAGCATAGCCTTCTTTTAATGGGTGAATCATTTATCACCCGTTCAGCACTGATCTATGAAATGCCTTCTCTGTGCCAGGACTTAGGCTGCATTGAAGAGACACAGCATTCTTGTTGTTAGGAAGTACGGATCAATCAGGATTAATACCAGAGCCCTGACTGATCATGGATTGGCAGAATAAGTAGAGAAGCAATATCACAGAAAGAGAATGAGGAGTCCCTGTCATGAGTCTGATGCTCTTGAACATGACTCTGTACTTAGGATAATCACTAGCTTTTTAATGTCACCCCACTGGGGACAGTGAAGCCCTGTGATTACAGAGACTTTGTTGTAGATACAGGTAAGCTGACCTGTGGTCTAGGAGCTAGCAAGCAGAGGTGGGTGTGGACATTTCAAGGTGATGGGAGATGTGAAGCCCGAACCCCACACCTACCGTACAGCAAGTGGCACCTGCTGGCAGCAGGGCAGGTAGGGTAACCCTTATGCAAAAATGCTTGGGACCAAACGTGTTTGGAATTTCTTTGGATTTTAGACTATTAGCATTTGTATCCTGAGCTATCATGGGACTGAGAGCCAAGTCTAACCCATTTAGATTTCATAGACTCTTGCTCATAGCCTGAGGTTAATTCTCTGCAGTATTTTTAGTATACCTTCATTTTGACTGCAACCCATCAAACGGGGTCAGATGTGGGATGTTCTACTTGTGGCCTATATCAGTGCTCTAAAAAGATACCATATTGTGGAGCATTTGGAGGTTTAGATTCTCAGACTACTTCTTACTGTAGTAGCTGGTAATGATGAGAACATCTAACAAAGTAGATTAATTTGTTCATTGAAGGCTTAGATTGTGTCAAGCAATAGTTTACTGTGTGAGTGAATGATTGAGGTCTGAAGCCGGCAGGTAAAGCAGAAAACCAGCCACTGCCATGGTTACCACCACTGGCAACAGACACTGGGTGAGGCTCACAAGGTAGCCCCTGAGCTGGCAGAGGGCAGACCACGAGACGGAGAAGGCCCGTCAGCCTACGCTCAGCTCCGGGCTCCCTGTTCTGGGCCTGGGGCCTGGCTAGGGCACACAGAGGAAGCATCCAGAGGCACTAACATGGGTGTGGTTCCCTTCCCACCATCAGCTGCAGCCATGGAAAGTGTGTGGCGACTGGGACGTCATACGTGTGCAAGTGTGCCGAGGGCTACGGAGGTACTTTGTGTGACCTCAAGAATGACTCTGCCAACGCCTGCTCGGCCTTCAAGTGTCACCATGGGCAGTGCCACATCTCTGACCGAGGAGAGCCCCACTGCTCGTGCCAGCCCGGCTTCAGCGGGGAGCACTGTGAACAAGGTAGGGTGCACACAGAGGGAAGGCCTCATTGGCTCCAGGACCCTGGGCTGTCCCTTGCCAAGCCTCAGTTCCCTCGTCTTGAAAAGTGGGGGCTGTAGTCCACCTTGCAGTGTCCCTCATCTATTATTGCACAATAAATACAGCAGCTCAAAACCACCACAGGCTTCACTCCGTACAAGAGCTGTGCCCTGGGAGTGCAGAAGGAGCTCAGCCTCGGGGGTGGCTGTGTATCTTGATGTTGCAATCAACACAGCCAGGGCTGCACTTCCAGCAGCAGGATCTCCTCCTGTATGGTGCACTGCTTTCGGTTTCCCCCTGTGTGAGAACAGGGAAGCTGGCTTCCCCTAGAGTGAATGATCCACGAGTGCGAAGAGGAAGCTACCCTGTGTTAAGTGACAGAGGCGGGGAAACCACTTACACCATGATTTCCACCATACCGTAGTGGTTATGAGGGTCGGGCACCTTGGGAACTACCAAGTGGACCAAAATCCTGGGAGGTGAGGGTCACTGCCTAACTCAGTTGTGGGGAGGAATAGGAGTTACCAAACATTTGGCACCTACTTCAATGTTGAGGGTCTGGCAGCTGAAACTACATCATAATCTAGTTTCAGTAAACAAGTCCAGGATAGCCATCTGAGAAGTTAGAAGCAACAGTGCAGTTGTGATGGAGCAGGTCAGTCCCTGACACTGAGCACCCTGGGCCCCATCCTTCATGCCAGTGCGCAGGTAATTCATGGATGCTACTTCACAGCCTTACTGTGAGGGTTAAAACGGCTGGTTGGAGCTGCCAGCTGCTTACCCCTCTCAGCAAAGCAGACCCTAGCCGTGAGAGAAGGGCATGTTCTTCTGTTCGACTGGAATGTCTAACAGAGGACATGGATTACATAGCAGAAGTAGGGGAGGCCCAGGGGAGCACAGAAACTCAGCACCTGCTCCCATCACCCCCACCTCTGCAGTCGGGAGGGTCGTCTTACAGGGAGAGGCCCTGAAGCTTTTGCTGCCGTGGAATGCTGCAGCTCTCCGAAACTCTCAGCTCAGCAGTTTAGGATGCTGCCTGGAGTCTGCACGGTACACGCCCTCACCTGCCATGACACAGTGCAGTTTTGAAACCATAGCCACATCTGGACCGTATTCTGCTCTGGGGATCCGAGCCACTGCATACCTTCATTCCAGAGGCCCTGGCACAGTTTTACTACGTTCACACAGGTGGTTACAACCACCAACAGCCCGAGCACTGATCCTCCCACATACTGTACCGTAGTACTCCGGAGGACTGCAGTATTCTGCGTCAGCAAACACTTCCAGGGGCTTTCCCAGCCCTGTACTGACCCTGACCGGGGAGGTGGGGTGATGGAAGCGGTGCCCTGCCTCCAGGGAAGAGGCAGTACACAGCAGGGAGGCTGCCCACAGTCCAGGGAACCACCACGCACACCTAAGCTTGACCTAAGACTCAGCCACGACCTGCCACCACCAGCCACCCTTGTCGCCTGTGCTGCCAATGGAACTGTGCCAAGGAACGCAGGAGGCATGACCAGGAACACGTGATGCCACCAGGGGAACACAGCAACTAACCTGAAAGAAAACTTACAAAACACTTCAAATGGATGTCCACATCTTCAGGAAATAAAGCTGAACACTTCCCAAGTCTCCTGAGAGAGATGTGGACACCCAAGCACACAGTCCCCACGTCCACCCAGCAGGGTCCTCTCTGCAATGCACTCAGACCAAACGGCACAACTCGGAGGGTTCTGAAAGCATTGCGTCACTGGAAGGAGCTCTCAGGTGATCAGCAGACTTCTCAGAAGAAACCTAATCACCCAGGAAAGAACGGAGCGACACGTAGAAAGTGCTGAAAGAAACCCTTGGCAGCCAGCACGCTCTAACTAGCAGAAACTTCAGAAGGAAGTGTCTTCCAGACAAGCAAAAACTAAGGAAATTCGTCAACAGTAAACCAGCCTGTGAACGTGCCCCAAGTAAAAGCAAGAGGATGACAGTTACCGAAACGCAAGAAAGTAGAAAACCTACTAAGTGGAAATGTATTCATAATCAAAGAATAATACTCCATGGCTGTTGGTGGTCTGTGTACTTCCAACTTCTGGTGTCAGAAATCACGATTAGCAGGGCCAGCACCTGGTGGCATTGCTTGCAGTGCCAGCATCCTATATGGGCACCAGTTCAAGTCCCAGCTATTCCACTTTTGATCCCCCTCCCTGTTAATGTGCCTTAGAAAACAACAAAGGATACCCCGAGTTCTTGGTTGGAGGATGTCTCGTCCACCAGTATGGGAGAACCATGTGAAGCTCCCAGTTTGAGCTCAGCTCAGCTCTGGCTGCTGCAGCCATGGGGGAGTGAATCAGCAGATGGAAGCTTCTCTGTCTTTTCTTCCCTCTGTAACTCTGCCTTTGGAATAAGAATATTTTTTAAAAAAAATTCAAAACAATCACAAATAACTATAGATAAAAATCATCAGAACCCACAATCTAAACAGACATAAATGAAGGAACTTAAAATATAAACTGTGGAAGTGAAAGGTAAGAGTCTGGAATTTAACACATCCCAAATCGTCAGGCTGGAAGAGACGGACCGCAATACGACAACAGTAAGGGACGTTTCCTTTCATCAGTAGATCATCTAGCCAGAAAAGCAGCAAAGGAACATCACGCCAGCAACCCCATGGAGCAAGTGGACGTAGAGTTGCAGAGCATTGCCCCGCAGCTGGGGGGCGCACTTTCTTCTCCACAGCACATGGAACATATTCCAGGATAGACCATGCATCTCAGACTGCACAGCAAGTCTTAATAAAGTCAACAAGTTAAAAATTACACGAAGCCTCTTTCCAGACCACAGTGGTATGGTATTAGGAATCACTGGCATGAGTAACTGTGGATGTGTCACACACATAAAAACTAAGCAGCCGCCGCTTCAGTAAACCATGGAGCTAGGCCAGCACTGTGGTGCAGTGGGTTAGGCCGCCACTTGAGATGCCTCCACACCATGTGAGAGTCCGAGTCGGTGTGCCAGCTGCTCCGCTTCCAGTCCACTCCCTGGAATGTACCTGGGAAGGCAGAGAGATGGTCCACACACCTGGTCCCTGCCACTCATGTGGGAGACCTGGCAGGAGTTCCTGGCTGCTGCTTCCACCTGCACAGTGTTGCAGGTGGGGAGTGAACCAGAAGGTGGAAGGTGTCTCTCCTCGGTCTCTCCTGCTCAGTCACTGCCTTTCAAATAAGTAAATCTTTAATACAAACAAAGCCGACATACAGAAAGCTCCAGATCAATGAGGAAGAGAAATGTTTAAATTTAAACAAGGAGTTCCCAAACCTGTAACATATAGCAAAAGTAGTTCTAAGAGAACTTTATATCAAAAAATAAGAACTCAACTAACATTGCATCTCTAGGAATTAGAAAAACAAACACAACTAGTAGAAGAAAAGAAATAAAGATCAAAACAGAAATGAAATGGGCACTAGAAGACTGAAATTTTTAAAAGATGATGAAAATGAATTTTTTAAGATTTACGTATTTTTATTGGAAAGTCAGATTTACAGAGAGAAAGATCTTCCATCCATTGGTTCATTCCCCAAGTAGCTGCAATACCCAAAGCTGAGCCAATCTGAAATCAGAATCCAGGAGTTTCTTCTGGGTCTCCCATGTGGGTTCAGAGTCGTAAGGCCTTGGGTCTTCCTCGACTACTCTCCCAGGCCACAAGCAGGGAGCTAGAAGGGAAGTGGAGCAGCTGGGATATGAACCGGTGCCCATGTGGGATCCCGGCACATGCAAGGTAGGGATTTTAGCCATTAGGCTACCATTAGCCATTAGCCAGGCCCCAAAATGAATTTTTAAAAAAGATAATACTTGTAAACTTTTACATAGAATAAGAAAAAAGAAGCCTGAAAGATGAAAATGGACATATTATAACCTATAGTGTAAAAATGCAAAGTATCATTTACATATAGTTATAAAAAAGTTATACATCAAAAACATTGAATAATCTGAAAGAAAATATGAATTCCTGGTCATGTACATTGAGTTAGAAAGAAATGAAAAACAGGACCCAGCATGGTAGCCTAGCCACTAAAGTCCTCGCCTTGCACGCCCAGGGGATCCCATATGGGCACTGGTTCTAACCACTGCAGCTCCACTTCCCATCTAGCTCCCTGCTTGTGGCCTGGGAAAGCAGCAGAGGACGGCCCAAAGCCTTGGGACCCTGCACCTGCATAGGAGACCTGAAAGAAGCTCCTGGCTCCTGGATTCAGGTTGGCTGAGCTCCAGCTGTTGCGGCCACTTGTGGGAGTAAACCAGCAGATAGAAATCTGTGTCTCTCCTCCTCTTTGTAAATCTACCTTTCCGATAAAAATGAATAAATCTTTTTTTTTTTTAAGTAGCTGGATGCAGAAGCTGGTGGCAGTTATCTAACCCAGGTACTTGGAGACGGGATGTAAGCATCTGAAAGATCTCCTAGACAAAACACCCTCGCCCCAGCTCATAATTGTAAGGTAGTAGCATTAAGCTTAGTACACTTCACATTGTACCAGATTAAAATTGTTAGATGCATAAGCCTGGAGTCCGTCACGATCTCCTTTGATGATCAGAAGAGCCCGTGATCAGTAAGAAGGAAAGATCATCAGCTTACCATTCTCCAGACCAGACACTGCGCCTCCAGGACAGCATATGTTGTGCCTGACCAGGATGTGTCGCCGAGGAGCCTGGCCTCCGGTCCATGACTGTCCTTCTGGGGCCATAGGGGCTGCAGATGAAGTCGGGCCAGGCTCTGCAGTGCTCAGGCAGATGTTCCCTCCCTCCCTCTGCTTATTTGCAGGAATTCTAGAAACACTGCCCAAAGCCTGTGGGCCTCATTAATTGCTGCTCTTTATCCAGATCTCAACTCCAATACCACTCCCCCCACCCCCCAAAGCATCCCTGGCCTGGCCCGGTTCCTTTCCCAGGTGCCCTGGAATAAACATGTCCCTTTTCTTCGTGAGCACTGGCCTCAGTTCACTGTAACGACTGTAGTGGTATTGTCTGCCTGCTAAACCGAGGGAGACAGCCTGCCGGCAGTGTTTGGAGGAACCAGGGCAAGCTGGAAATCTTCTGCTCCGTCTAAAGCTTCATCTACTGTTGCAATGCAGGGATGCAGGCTCAGCCCAGCCAGTCCTCTTGGTTTCCCAAGAAGCTAGAGATCCAAATTCTTAAGTTAAACGTCCAGGTGTCTGAATGTTGCTATTTAATTTAGTTGTAAGCATGTGTAGGGTAGTGAAAACATGTTTGGAGACAATGTTTAACCCCGTGCTCTACCAGTTTGCTCTGTCTTGAAGGATGGGCCCCAGCCTGGCTCTGCCACAGTTACATCCTCAGAGCCGGGATCTATGCCTGGAATAACACCTGGCACAACAAAAGATTCTTAGCAGTTGTGAATTAGCCAGATGGGTGCATGGGGGAGCGGACGGAGGGAGATGTGTAAAGGGTGGGGGGACAAGGATGAGTAAGTCCTGTGGTTTGTAGAACACAGCCCTTGCGAATGACTTCCCTGGGAACTCCCCGTGAACCAGCCAGCCACCCGCACCGCCAGGGTGGGTCTGACCGTCCGTCTTCCGCCCTCTGCAGAGAACCCGTGCCTCGGGGAGGTAGTGCGAGAGGTGATTCGGCGCCAGAAGGGTTACGCGTCATGTGCCACAGCCTCTAAGGTGCCCAGAATGGTATGTCGCGGGGGCTGCGGCTCCCAGTGCTGCCAGGCCACCCGCAGCAAGCGGCGGAAATACGTCTTCCAGTGCACGGACGGCTCCTCATTTGTGGAAGAGGTGGAGAGACACTTAGAGTGTGGCTGTCACGTGTGTTCCTAAGCCTCTGCCCGCGGCCTCTCGGACTCCAGCTTGGTGAGGCTGGGGACAGCCGTGTGGGATCCCACCCCGAGACTGGGAGTGACGGAGAGCGAGCCGGAGAGAAAGCAAAGAAGAGAATATTAAGTATATTGTAAAATAAACAAAAAATAGAACTTATTTTTATTATGGAAAGTGACTATTTTCATCTTTTATTATATAAATATATCACATCATCTGAGTATATGTACCATATAGTGAGCTATTTTTACCGCGTTGTTTTTGTGTTGTGTATTTGTTGTGTTTTTATAAACAGTTGTTAAAGATTCTAAGACAAAAAAGGACTAATAAAAATGTTCTAAAACAAAAGGGGTCAGAATAAAGAAATGAGAGCCCCTCTGAGGGCGGAGGAGGAATCCATATGTTTATGAGCCGTCCTCATGCTGACAAAACCTGCACCTGTTCTCTGAGCTCTAGGAAAAAAATCAGAGCAACAGAGGGGGAACAAGAGAGGATTCTTGGCTTTTTTTCATCATTGTAATTGCTTTGGTCTTCCCTAAAAGCATCTAGCTTTCAAAAAATCCTGGCTGGTTATGTCCTAGACATCCAGTTCCTCCAGTATAAAGCCGCTGTGGCCCCAGGCGACTGCCCCAGGCTTGCCACAGGGTCTCGGCTTCCTGCCGAGAGTCACTCTTGCCTTCCTGGCTGAGCCTGCTCTCCTCCAACAGACAGCCCGGGCTCATTTACCGAATTTCAGAATACTTCTCTACTCCCAGAGCCGAGTCCTGCTGGACAAGGCAAGGCAACGCGGGGTCAGGTCCTCCTCGGGCTCCAGGCACTGCACTTCCTCACGGTGCTGCCTCACTCTGCAGCTTACAGCCGGTGTTTCGTTGTTGTTTGTTTTCTGCAATGCGGTACCAGGAGAGCAGGGGCAGAGCTGCTGGCATGAGGAAGGCTGGGCACCAAGCCCCCCAACAACCCTTGCCAATATCTGCCTGTGGAAGCTTCTTTGGGGGGGCTCTTGTTATGGGAAACAGGCCTGGGCCACCTGATCCTCCTCCAGGCCACCATCTTCCTGACTCAGACCCCTAGCTCACCTGCAACACCTCCCTATGCACCTCCGAACTGTGCCTTATTCCATCCACCCAGCCACTTCATAGATGAGGGAGCATGGATCCTGCTCGGGCTCTGTAACTTGCCTTAAGTCACACATCTGACAAACAGCCAGCCCTCAGATCATATCTCCAGAACAGGTGACCACAGTGTCAGTTCAGCAGAGAAAAGCTCGTGGACAATCCTGGGAAAGGAGAGCTGATTTTTTTTGTTTCGTTTTTCTTTTTTCTGCTCTTGTTCTGCCTCCCTTGTATCCAGAATACTCGAGAGGGAAGGGATTAACGAACTTTCCAGGGAACGTGGGTCACTTGCACAGCTTCGGACTTCGTTCCCAGAGGGGCTGCCCCACAGCGTCAGTACCTGCCCTGCAGGGTCTCAGCTATTCATACCGCTATCCCTCCAGCCCTCCATTAGCCTCCACTGCAAGGTTTCAGGGAGGAGAAGGTGGGACTCTGTGGCCCTTTCAGCTCTGAGCATCCCCGGAGGACCCGAAATGTTCCAGGAGAGCCAAGGGCATCTCAAGGCATAAAGAAGGCAGTGAGAAAAGATAGGCTGATGGGTGAATGCCAGGCAAGTGAAAGACAGGACATAAGGAGAGGGAGAAAGAAGGGGCATGATGCAAGAATGCCACCTGTGCATTTGGGTATCCACAGGACTCCAGTTATGGAGAGCTCTGAGTGCCAAGCCAGACACAGAGCCAATGGAATTGTTCAAGACTAGGAATAGCATGACAGCATCTGACTTAGGACTAGAACTGGCATCCAAGTTGAGAGAAAAGCTGGGAAAGGGCCAGTTGGCCACTTTGGGGCAGGAAAACTTTGATTTCCAGAGGAAAAGCCCCAAGATTCATCCTGGAAAGGGTATCCTGGAATTTTCCCAGTATCCCTCCCATTCTCCATACCTGCCCCAAGCTCCCGCTAGGGTTGCCTGAGCTTTTTGTTCCAACACACCTGGCCCAACACAGAGTCCACTTGTCCTCTCCAAAGTGTTGCCCAGGGTTGTAGGACCCAGCTGGCCACTAGCTTCCCTTGTGCTCATCACCTGTGGGCCCGATCCTAAACCAGGAAAGACAGCAAAAAAGGGCATGCCTGTCTCTAGGTGAGGATTAGAGAGGGTTCTGGGGCCATCCATGACATTTCAGAAGCTCTGACTTATGCCAAATGCAAGGGCCACTAAGCAACTTCTCTCCAAAAATGAAGTTCCGCCACTAACTGAAGTTTAAAATTCTGTATCAGAGAGCAGTCCCTGGGGACAGGAAGAAGGTTGGTTGTCCCTTTGTCCCCTGTAAAGCGGGGTTTGGTGTTTGCTAAGCTACATGCTCAAGAGGTAGTGAGCTCAGCTTCCCCCAAGCAGGATTAAGGAGAAGGGAGGGGAATGTTTCCTTTTGACTCTAACAAGGGGCCCTGAAATAGCTGATAAAATGGGTGTATTTCCTTAAAAGCTCTGTGTAAAGTGTAAACTACAAACTGTCAATGTAAAATGCTATTGTTATTGCTGCTGTTGTTGCTATTAACTGATGTGCCGCAAGGCCCTTTTTAGAAGATAACTTTGCCTTTTTCAAGCTCATAGCAAAGAACCCAGGTCTGATACTTCAGAAATATGAGAAGGGAGAGGGGAGAGGACAAGAAGGGAGAACTCTAGGAATTGAGACAGAAAAAAGCTCGAGGACAATCCTAGGAGCCCAGGAATGGCCAGGGCCCTGCCCTGCACCTGGCACAGCTACCATCGCATTGAACCGCAAAGCTGGGCACTCACCCACTGCTGTCATTGGGAACACACGCCCAATAGCAACCCGTGCCCAGAACCTCAAAAACACACAGGATCCCACATCTCAGAGCTGAAGGAGCGCAGTGGGTCACGGGTAGGTGGATAAATGAGGGTTGAACCAACAAAAAAAAAAAAAAAAAGAAAGAAAGAAAAGAAACACCAAAGTGATACCATTTGTGGAAACCAAAAGCAGGAAAAGACCCAGTTATCCATCCAGGCCAAAGTTCTTCATGCTGTTCCAGAGTGCAGCTCGGGACAGACACTCCTGCTTTCCTGTCCTCCTCACTGCCCTCATGGTCATCTCCCTGTGCACGCTCAGCTGGCCAGGTAGCTGGGGACAGCTCCATGTTTGCTAGTCTGAGTTAAACAGTGCCTAATCAAACACATGAGGAAAGCCGGTGGGAGACACTGGGGAGCAGAACTGATCGAGGCAAAACTGGGCAATTGGCAAATCTAGTTTGTCTAGTTCAACCATAGGTTCTAATAGCAAAATCTCTCTAAGACTTGTTGAAAACAGTGTTACAGTGCTGCTTGCCCACTATGGAATCAACAATGTGCATTCTTTTTCAACAGACTGTTATATTCCGATGTCATTTAAATAAATGGAGAAGTCACAGATGCTTTTGTGACGACCTTGACTCAGCCCTGCTCCACGTGTGTGCTTTGTTTTCACTCCTGACTTTTACATCCTCTAGGGCCAAAGGCCTGCAAGCATGGGACATGGCCAAGTCCGGTAGGAAAGTAGTTTAAACAAACAAATCCGTTTCTTGAAACATCAAGTGAGAAAAATGTATCCAGACTGCGTCAGAGACCTGGGAGAGAAAACCCAGCCTGTGTTTCGTGGGCTGGAGACGATGCGGTCTGGACAGCCACACATTGGGCAGCTAGGGTCCTGGGAAGAGGGAACAGCTCCACCTCGGGGAAGATCACTGACGGACACTCAAGCATCTCATGAAGTGCCCTCCCGTGTTCACGCCTTCAACAGCCACCTACAGGGCAGCCGCCATGCACCAGGCTCTATGTCAACCTTTCAGTACTCGCAGGTCCTTCTGCTGCTGCTGTTGTAAATGATATGGTGGAGGCCAATCAGCCAACATATAAAGGTAACTCACTTCAGATAAGCAAGTGGGGGAAACAGAAGAGCTGGGTGCGTGCCTGACACAGAGGTCAAGGACGACCTTTGCAGACTTGGGACATTGGAGTGAGGCAAGCATGCAGCCGCTTACCTGCACTTGTGTGGGTGGGGAGCATGACATATCCCCAGGGGCCAGAGATGATGACCGAACAAGAAAGAGAATTCACTCCCCACCATCCCATCCTGGGGCATGCCGAAAAGGATACGGGGCTTTGGAACAAGAATTGGTTAACAAGACGAAGACTGCCACTTGGTGGTTGGAGGGCACTCTTATTTTCCTGGCAAATGGCTCTGTGCCTTTCCAATGGAGGGCCCATCATCTAGAGAAAACGCTGGCAGGTGGAAGGGGCAACATGGGCTGGAAAAAGGCCCGGTCCCTGTGGCCCTAGGACTATTAGTCCTTTTGCATCTGGTATTCCCAGAGCAAGACAGGGATTCACAAGCCAAGTGCCCTGAGACTCTGCCAAATATGCCCCTGGCAAACAGGGAGGAGGAAATCCCAGAGCCTATGGAACTGAATCCTGAAAAATGAAAATTAAGAAAACAATGCCCCTGACATTAGTGCCATGTCTTTAAGCATAAATGAATCGGAAAAAGTAGACAGAGATGAATTTGTGCTGACACGTGGCTTGCTGGACAACCTGGGAGCCAACAACCTCTATTTTATATATTTAAACAAGGAAACCCGCTACCTGGATTCGGGACCCACAGGTAAAGGCTGAACATACTTCCACTAAAAGAAAATCCGAGACATTGTAAGAACCCATGTTATTCCACAAGTAAACAATTCCATACCATAATAGTTTGTTTTTGCACAAATTTAAAATGCTGTATAAAGCTATCTTTAGGATATGTGCCTATCCAGTATATATAATACAGGAATAAATTTGCATTTAGAACTGTGTCCACTCAGAAGATACCTCATTAGATCTTGCAAATATTGCATAATTTGTGGAGAAAAAAACCAGAGTCCTCAATTTAATCTGTTTATCCATCTCTCAAACTCTTTTTCACATGCGTTCACTGCACAACTTCTCAACTGACCAAGATTTACCTCCCTGGAGACTTATGGCAATGCCTGGAGATACTTATTTCCTGACTAGGACATAAGGTACTACTGACATCTAATGACCACGGCTGCTGTTACACGACCTACAATACTCAAGGCAGTCCACAGCAGTCATCATACAGAAGATGCCAAAAAAATGGAAAGATATTCTATCTTCACTCATTGGAAGAAAACTATTTAAATGTCAATATTATACTCTATGGATTGTAAGCAATCATTAAAATACCAGGGAGGCAGGCACCTGGCCTCCCATCTTGGTCACTTGGGCCACCGTATCCCACACTG